ATTTCGAATAAAGTTTAAATTCTCTGATAGTAATTGTGTAAGATACTGATCTATGTGGTGGACCTCTTACTCTTTTTTTAGGTGAAATATATTTTTTAAACCATAAAACATATTAACAAACACGACCCAGGGGGGTTGTAACCAAAAATTTGTTCCAGGCAGGTATTTTTAATTAAAAATGTACAATAAAAGCACTTAATATAATAATTGTTATGTTATAAACTAAAAAAATATTAACTAATATAAATGTTATAATCTCTAAAGTACATATTTCACTATGCAATTTTAGGGAATGCAATTACATATATTCCTTGAAATTGCGCTAATATTTTATAGGATAGACCTTTGATAATAGTATAATCCTCGCTCTAATTTCAGTACAACCTCCAAGAGTTTTGACCTTAATCTCGACAATAAGACATGTGAGGCGGACTCATATACTCGATACGCCCCAAGCGTTATACCAAGTTTATGTCAGCACCGATGAAGGTTAATTAACGTGCTCACTTAACTAATATTTTATAAAATACTAGCTGAACCCGCGGCGCTAAAACTACAAAACATCTCTAAAAAAGTAGGTTTCATACAAACTATCATCCCCTATTTTACCCCTTTATAGGATGAATATTGAAAAATGCTACAACATGTATTTATTTAATTTTATTGAAGAGCATTAATACCAATTTTCAAGTAATTGTGATCATAAGTATTTTGTTTGGGTTGTATTATGACGTCTTTTCCCGTGGGAGTTAGATAATATCCCGCGGTAAGTAATAAGTAGCCTATGTTACTCTCCAGCCCTTCAACTATCTCCATACAAAAAATCACGCCAATCCGTCACTTTGTTTCGACGTGAAAGAAAGACAGATAAACAAACAAACAAACACACTTTCACATTTTTAATATTAAGTATGGATTACGATATAAATATTTTGGGAATGGCGTTAATGTTTAGCATTTTTATAGTCAAGTTTCTTGAATGCTATTAATTATATGTACATATGTATCCATGTATTCCGACCTTTTTAACGTTTTACTACTAGCCACGGGCTTCCCTGAAATACGAGGAGGATCAGACCATAGTCCACCACGCTGGCCAAGTGCGAGTTGGCGGACTTCACATGTTTTTCGAAAACTTGCTAAGTTTCCTTAACACGCAAGTTTCCTCACGAGGTTTTCCTGCACCGTAAGACGAGTGGTTATTATGTTGGTTATGATTCGCACAAAAATATCAGAGGTGCCAGACTCGGATCTTGAACACAATTCACTCGTTTTCCCAATTGAGTGCGTTTGCCACTGGGTATATATAACAATGATATACATACATACATATATCCCTGAGTTTATATATTCTTTAATCATTTTGGTAGTTATGGAACCCACTGTTTAGTTATTCACGAACAAAACCCTAGATAGACTTACACGTTGTACCCAGATTATAATATAAATTTTAAATCGATATTATATTTTAAAATGTATTTTTGCGCGTAAGTACATAGTCTATTTAATATAACCTTTTAGAAGCAACTTGTGTGACTTGCTCTACATTAATTGAAAGACTTACAGTATGGCCATATTGATCGCTACTTCAAGCATAGCGACTGCATTTTCTAATAAATTAAACATATTACGAGGTAGAAATTACTAACAATTCCTTAGTTCGTTTGGTGATGTGGTACTTTTACCACGTATTTATTCCGAAGATTTTTATTTTTACCGTCAAATTATGTCGATGTAGAAAGTTATTGAAATTATAGACCTATATATTTAAGATGACAATGTTTTTATAAAAGTTTAGTTGTTTTCATAGTAATAAAGCACATAAATATAGCCTTATGAGATAAACGTAAATACGTTGAAATAAACGTGTTAAAGCGACTTTTCAAAGTACAAAAGGAAGAATTTTATTGGATGCTCTCGACTGGAAAATTGCTTAAAGCGACTAAAGCAAATATTGAACCAAAGTGGATGAAAAGTTAACGACAAGCAAGCTTAACTGTTGAACAATGTTTTAAGATAAAATTTTGAAGAACGGCAAAATTTACGTATATAACACAATGGACAGAGATTGGTGGCAGCTGACGCCTCGTCGGGAACTCCACAGTATTCCAGACAGCTTAGCGGCTCACGATTCACGGGTTTGATGTTTTGTTTCATAACATTTTTTTATCAATTTGAATAAACGAGTACGTTTAATCTATGAAATTAAATATGGTTTACGACACGATTATTTAGTTCCACGGCATATCAAATACGTACGGAATTAAAATAATCGGCTTTCTTAATTAAAACGACATCGCAATAGGTGTATATTTACGTATAGGTACATTATCTATACAGATAAATAAAATTGAAGTGTATGTTTGTTATGTCAAAATAAATAATTTTACTAAATGCATATGGAATTAAATACGGCAATTATAAGAAAAACACTTTTTTTTTTTAAATTTGTCTGTCTATCTATCTGTTTGTTCCGGCCAATCCCCGAACCAGCTGGGCCGATGTTGACGGGACTTTCACTGGCAGGTAGTTGATGTTATAAGGAGTTACTTAGGCTACTTTTATTTTATTAAAAGAATTAGGGTTCCGCTCAAAAAAATTAAAATGTACCTAGGGACGAACGAACCCGAGTGAAGCAAGGGTATACGCTATAGTTTATTAATAATATACATTACATTATGCTAAAATAGCTATAAATAGTACATTTTACGAATCGTAAGAAAGAAAAACGTGCCAATTAGGTACTTTTAACACGTAAGTGCTAATAGCAAGGAACGTGAACCGTTCGATGCACGTCACAGCCGCGCCTCCTTACTGTATAATAATGCTAATTTACATGCGACAAATGGACGAAATGATTTCAATTTGTCTATAAATAGATCAAAAGACAAATATAGGTTTAGATAGTAGTTGATAATACCATGTGTTTATTTATGTTCACATTTGGAGCTATACCAAGAAAAAATTATATTAATTTATAATATTATGTATAATCACAGATCATATTATAATACTATACTAGTATATAATATAAATTGAATTGATTCTATAATAATGATTAAAGTTAATTTAAAACATGTTTATCTTCGTTTATTGTTTTATTGTTATTTATTAATTAAATTTTAAAAAATAATAATTAATTGCACTTGCACTCTCCTTCATCTCTTCGCCGACAATGCCACTATAGTACTTTTACCGCGATTCTTATCCAAGAGAGTTTTAATCATGACTTCGAATAGATAAAATATTATTACAATTTACACATACTTTCTTTAAGATAGTTCCATAAAACGTAATCTATTGTTTATAAATACTTGTTCAAGTTCGTGCAAATTATACGGAAAATTAAAATAGAACCGTAAAACACTTTAGTGAGTTACTATATTAAATTCCGGTGCCGATTAAATATTAATGAAAGTTCTATGAGGCGAAATGAATCCATAAAATTTGTATATTTCTTATTAATTATATGTAATTTTCCGTCTACGTGTTCAATATCTTAGTGTACTAGTTACTTTTACTTCGTTTTTAACGTTTGTTACTTTTAGATCCATTGCAGTTCATTACCTAACTATAATAGCCTGATAGATACAAGTATCTAATTATTTAAAAGTCGTCATGACATGACGTTAATTGACATGACGAAACTTTATTGGTGTGTGTACAATCTTTAATGTATTTTCTGTGTTTAAATATTGTTTGTTTCCCAAAAATAAATAAATAATCTATACAGATAAATAATATTGAAGTGTCTATTTGTAATATTAAAATAAAAGCTTTTCAATAAATGCATAATATGAAATTATATACGGAACTTATAATAAAAACACTATTTTTACATTTTTGTCTGTCTGTTTTTATCTCGGCTAATCTCCGAAACCGCTACACCGATTTAGACGGGACTTTCACTGGCAGATAACTGATGTTATAAGGAGTAACTTAGGCTCGCTTTATTTTAGAATAAGATTTAGGGGTCCGCTCAAAAAAATAAAACGTACCTACCTAGGGACGAATCCGAGAGAAGCGAGGGTGAGTCGCTAGTACAAATAATAAAAATGAATGCATAATAACTTTGTTTACTAGCGAGGTTCCATCATTTATCATAGGGAAATAATTCCGATAGAGAGAGATGGGTCATAGAAATTTATCGCCGGTTCAAATGATTTCTAATTACGAGTCGATGAAGGTCGAGGAAGCGGTCACCTTCAATACGTCACACAGTATACATAGGTATGAGGTGCTCATGTGATAATGTACTGCTTTAAAAACGTCTAGAAAGCTCCTGAAAATTAGTATGTTTTCGTAAAAGGGTAGATAATAGGAAGTTGTTTTAGAATAGTTAAATATTATAGTGGATTCACACTTTCAGCTGTTTTTAAGTTTAAACTAGTGGCTCACACTCACTTCGCTCGGATTCGCCTCTAGAAAAACAAATATCCCAACCGTACATTTATTCGCGATAAAAAGTAGCCTATGTGTTGTTATAGTCGACTGTTAACGCTCTCGTGTGATTGAGTAGCAAACTCCATCCAAACAACTAAACTTTCACATTTATAATATTAGTAAGATTTATACAGATAATGATTTTTTAATACTGAATACTAATATATTTAATTAGAGTAATCAAAGAAAATAACGCGCGTTAGATTTTTATATAGAAAAAGTAAATTTTTATTACATGGTGTGTTTAAATTATTGATGAGTTTTAAATTTCTCTACTCTACAATATTCCGTTGTGCAAATATCTATAATCAATATGAAAATCAGAAATAGAGCTATTTTCTCTAAATCTGTGGTAGTTAGTTACACTATGATATGGATTTTACAAAAATGTTTTAACTTAGGTCAGATTTTATTATAACTAAACAATCTTTGTACGGCCTATCCTTACAATACATTTCTAGCAGAGATGATGTTAGATAAATTGACGCATTGTCTTCTCTTTCTATTTAAAACAAGATGTGTGAATTATTCTTATTATTTTTTTTTATTTTTTTTAGGGTATGGCCTTCTCAATTGAAGAGCGTCAAGCCTTAGGTATCCACGGCCTGCTGCCTCCCAGAGTGAAAAGCCAGGACGAGCAGGTGCAGCTTTGCAAGCTCTCTATCGACAGATACGAAGACCCTCTCAATAAATACATCTACCTTATGGGACTTCTTGTAAGTACTAAAGTAACATCAAAACAAACAATCGTACAGTGTTAACTTTGATTTTTACACGCGGTTAATTGTTAGATCTGACTTAGATATGCCAATAAGGCATCGTCTGACATATTCCATCATCTTTCATATCTAGAAGTGAATATATTTCGTTATTTGTATATATGTATTACTTATGTATATAATATGATTAGAAGTGACTGCCTCGGTGGAGTAGTGGCTAGCAAGTACGGCTGCACATCGAGAGGTCCTGGGTTCGAGTCCCGGGTCGGGGCAAGTTTAGTTATTGAGTCTTTCTGTATAGTAAGCTTAAGTAACAGACTGGAGTTGGGAAGTTGGCGGTGTTTCACCCCCGAGCCTCGGAGAGCACATAAAGCCGTCGATCCTGCGCCGCCACTCTCACCGGTCGTGTCGAGTAGTCGTCCCACCGGAGTATGAGAGTGACAGGAATAGAGAGTGCACTTGTGTCTGCGCTGTGTTACACGCGCTGCACTATAATATCTCCTGCGCAGATGGCTAGTCTATATGAGACTGGGCGCCGTGGCCGAAGTCGGTCGAGAGGTCATTTTATTATGATTAGAAGGGATACCGGATAGGTCGAAAGAGAAACCTTTCTTTAAATGAATTTTATTGCACTTTTCTTTCACTAGGGCATTTCATTAAATAGACAAAATTATGAAGCGTTCATTTTTTTATATTAAAACAACTTGTATAACAAGTGCACGTTTATAATAACTTTATTTAATGTTTACAAAGTCCTCGATAACTAGTAGATAATGTTGTTTCTATTACATGAAAGATAATTTATCTTTCCTTTACATTCTCTGGTGCGTAGATTTCTAACTTTTCTAATAAATATTTGTGTGTTTAAATCATTGTTAACAAAGTATAACTAGATAATATTAATATTAATCGCTTTTATATTTGAATAATATGTGTAATATACAATATATTCAAAACATTTTAGTTAGTTTTATACAATGTTAAAAAAATGTTATTTCAATGCCGGAGCGATGCCCCGGCTGTCTGCAAAATTATTATAACGATAAATTTAAAGTAAATTTTGATGGCATTGTGAATATTCCTTCTTTAGCCTCCAATTTATTAAGCTGGAGTGATTAAGCGCTGACCGCTTTAGGACTCGAGATTTTGAATGGGTACAAAAAAAAATTTTACGTTGTTTATGCGTTTATTTTTAATTAAAGTAAAAGATGTATTACATGGTGTTTTGCATTAGCTTTATAAATTCCTGTAAAAAAACTTTATTTAATAATAAGGTTTATTTATTAAGAATAATAGTATTATTATGTAGGAAAAATTTGTATGGGAAGTAGAACAGTGACCTTGAATAAATAGCTAATAAACACCTACACACATTATTACAATAACATAATTTACATAGTAACCGAATAAATCAAGATGTCTTAAAGGATATTGCCAGAAATTTTAAGGCAGTAGAGCAGGCCTGTTCATTAACATTTACCAATTTAAATAATTTCCTAAAAGGTGAATTTGTAATCTATAAATACGACTGTGTTTGTACATTTGACCTTCCCTTAACAATGAAGTAAGGTCGATGTTATTTTTACTTAACATTATTTATGACCTTGATATTAATATTTAAGCTTTTTATCCCGCTCTTCCGGGAGGTAAAAATGATATATAATTAATATGTAATAATATGGTTTACAATAATATTATTTTAAATTTACAATCACAATAAGATTTTTCAAGGTTTTATTAAAAAAAAATGATTTCTGTCTTTTCCAATTATTTACAAGAGAGATAGTAATGGCAGAAACTAAGGTTTTTGACGTATCAAAAGTTATAGTTAAACATACCGCGTATAATCTGAAAAATGGAGAAAAATCCGAAACAAAGGGTTTCATTTAAAATGTAACACGGTTTTTTGCACAATCGCAGGACCGCAATGAGCATCTCTTCTATCGTTTCATCGGCGAGAACGTAGCGGAGATGATGCCCATCGTGTACACGCCGACCGTGGGCCTCGCCTGCCAGAAGTACGGCCTCGTGTACCGCCGCCCTCGCGGACTGTTCATCACCATCCACGATAAGGGACACGTTTACGATATTTTGAAGAACTGGTAAGAATTCTTATTCCTTGTCTCACATGTAGTATTTTATTACTTTCCAATAATAATAATAATAATATGTACGTAACAGTGTTGTAATCGTACTGAAAAAATATAAAATATTTATGGCTTAGAAAAGAATCATCTAAAATTTCTCGCAGATACGGAAAATCCACTTCGTATATTGGTGTGTCACAAAATGACGTTATATATATTTGGGTAGTTTACTCTACGATTAATAATGTCATGCGTATTTCCTCAACTGGTCTACCACATGGAATTTTCGCTCTTATGTTACGTCACTATCGATAAACTATGGCATTGAAAATTTTGCCATATATATAAGACTTGTTTATAGCATTATATTTTAGTTATTTTCATAGTATTATGTCCTAACTCCTAATTCCTATGATATCTTACTTACTATGGGGAAATGCAGCTGCTATTAATACGATTTTTGTCCTGCAGAAAAGAGCTTTTCGTGCAATTTATAGTTTAGGTCCTAGAGTGTCATTAAGAGATAAGTTTAAAGAAATAAAAATATTGACTGTTGCTACTTAGTACGTATACGAGAGTGGTATGTGTGTTCGTAAAAATATACACGAATTTCCCAAGAAGTGTGACATGCATAGCATTAATACTAGGAGCAAACATAAACTTGTAATGCCCGCAACTTGTCTACACAGAGCCAGTAATTCTTTTTATGGTCAATGTTTACGCTTTTACAACAGGATCCCAGAAAATGTTCAAAAACCTTCTGTCGTCAAATTCAAAAAAATGTTAAAGAACGTTTGTGAGCTAAAGGCTATTTATACAATAAAAGATTTTATAGAAGATGGCACACCTTGGAAATAAAGTGATCACCTCCAGGCTACTTTAACTTCTTAGAAATATTGTAATTTATAACTTAACTTTATAAAGAAGATATACGAAAGTCCCGCTGAGTTTCTTTCGCCAGTTCTTCTCAGATCTGAGGCTTCTTCTTTCCGAACTGGTAGTAGACTCATGACGTTCAGTAAAATTTGTAATAATTTAATGCTGAATAAAATATTTTGAATTTTTAATTTTTTCAATTTCAGATATTAAGATATGATAGTGATTTATTTCCTTCTCACTGATCAATCTCCATAGTGCCTTCTCTATTGTAGGCGAGGTTGGCAAAGTGAATTTTACTCAGCTAGCACTTCTAAAAGTTATTGAAAATAAAACTATTCGAATTAAATATCAATTAAAAGTATCGTGGGCTTCTTTTGCGATAAGGAAATAGATTCGAAAATGCTTTACATATGTAAGTACAATGTACATACATACCGGTTATTGCTTCGATGAGTACGTCTCGATTTGAATAGAGGTGTGTTAAAAGTATCCGAAATAGATGTATAATATCTCTAGAAAATTGATTTCACAAATAATATTGTTCATTCTGTTGATATTAAAATGTGTAAATTATCGTATTTTATTTGTTAGTCGATAATGTTTTACAGTAATATTACACACGTTTCAAGCTACAATGTGAAACATATATATATATATATATATATATATATAATATATATATATATATATATATATATGTATATGTATATTACTAGCATTGCCCGCGGCTCCGCCCGCGTTAAGATAACCAAAAACCAAATTCCATCAAATCCAGTGGTTTTCTCGTGATGCGGTAACAGACAGACAGACAAAAATTCTAAAAACTATAGATTCGAACTCTGTATCGATAATGTCTATTTCAATTAGATTTTCCAAAAAATATTTAATTTACAGATTACAGACTTAGTTACAATTTTATTATATGTATACATATTGTTATACACAGAGAGTATGCAGAGTCAGAGTGCGGGTTTAGCATTTATAATTTATATGAAAACTTTGTCTTTTGTATTAAAGTAGATAGTAGTTAAAGAAATGTCATGGGTGATAATTATTTTTAGCAGATCAAAACGTTAGAATGTCACAGGATTGTTATGATTAGAATTAGAATGTCAGAGGAATAATAAAATCATTTATAAAATATATTAATAATAATAAAATTTTGTGTATGTATGTAAGAATTGATTTGATAGATTGTATTCTATAATAAAAATAATATAATTGATATACCTCAAACTTTTTTTTCTAAAATTAATATTGCTGGAGATATCGAGCAATAAAATTGCATGTGAGTGAACGGTTAGGGAGATAATCGCGAAAAGACCGACGAAGATAGTGAAATTTGTGTGTTTCGAGCGCAATATCTGTAAAAATATTAATTTTAGAAAAAAATTATTAAATAATAAGATTGGAAATATAATTTAAAAGAGAAATGATTTCTATAGTTTTTTTTACGTAGGATGAGCCGTCTGGGGATATAGAATAAAACGCGAATCTATAGTTTTTAGAATTTTGGTCTGTCTATCTGTTACCGCATCACAGAAAAACCACTGGAGGGATTTTGATGAAATTTGGTATGGTGATAGCTGGTTATCCATGTCATCATATAGGATAATTAGGATAATAAGGATTTTATCGTGGGAAAATGTCTGAGAAAAAATACAAAAACTGCAATGTAAGAGTATACTAATATTGTACAATCTTCTAAACCACTTATATAATTGAGTCACAGTAAAACAACTATATGAGCGAAGACAATTTATTCACCAAAAAAGATTTTACTTATAGTAATTAGCAGAACCAAACCATAGCGTGATTCAGAGAACCGGTAACGCCATCTAGTTAAAAACATATAAACTATTTTTATTCTTATACTAAACATTCCGCCCACCATGGACGAAAGTTCATCTTAACATAACAAAAATCAACAATATTGTTAAACAAAAAACAAAAACAATATAAAAATAACTGCTTAACTTAACACTTCTAATGGACTGTAATCTTAAACAAACGAGTTAGGTAACAATAAACTTATCAACTACGAACATTCAATATTTTTCAATATTTAAACAAGCACGATAGATTTTACTATAACTTATAATAATAATTTATGTAGCAATAGGTAAAATAATGAGTTTAGAAATAGGTCTTTTAATTACATTATTTTTACATCGAAGACTCACTACACGTGTAAATTTGTCCAAACCAGGATGTTTCTCTACTATTAAGCCGTATAGCCATCGAGAAGGGGGAAGATCGTCTTCCTTAACTAGGACAACGTCTCCAACCTTCGGTTCATTCGTGGTATTTTTCCATTTATAACGATGTTGAAGCTGAGTCAGATATTCGTGTGACCATCTACGCCAGAAGTCTTGGACTATTCGCTGAGTCAAATGCCAACGAGTAAGATTACTCATTGATGCCTCCTCAAAATTAACTTCAGGCACAAGAACCAGAGGTTCACCGACTAAAAAATGTCCTGGTGTTAGTGGCCTTGGATCTTCTGGATAGCTGCTAATTTGAGAAATCGGTCTCGAATTAAGGCAAGCTTCTATTTGCGACAGCACTGTTGTCATTTCTTCAAATGTCAACGTACTATTGCCCACAACTCGCTTCAGATGATGCTTGGTGGATTTTATCCCGGCTTCCCATAGTCCTCCAAAGTTTGGAGAGTGAGGAGGAATAAAATGCCACTTAGTGCTATTATTTTCAAGCCATTCAACGATTTCTGGTATTATGCTCGATCTTTCCTTGTCATAAAGTATCTTTAGTTCCTTTGCGCTGCCAACAAATGTCGTACCATTATCACTCCATATTTCGGAAACATGGCCTCTCCTAGCTACAAATCGTTTAAAGGCGGCTAAAAATGCTTGAGACGTCATGTCGCTAACAATTTCTAAATGCACAGCTTTGGTTGCCATGCAAATAAAGAGACAAATGTATCCTTTAGTGGTATGATAACCTCGGCCTTTGGTTGGCCTTACGCTGATTGGACCTGCATAATCTACACCACATCGTAGAAAAGGTCTACAAGCCCTGACTCGAGCTTCTGGCAGCTGACCCATCAATTGATTGGTTGGCTGTGCAGCATAACGAACACAAGTTATACATTTCTGTATAAACAGTCTTACAGCGCTTCTTGCATTGAGAATCCAATACTTACTTCTTAGGCAATTAAGTGTCATTTGAGGTCCTCCATGCAGTGTTAAAAGGTGAGCTTCCGCTATGATAAGGTTAGTAAAGTGAGATTTATGTGGTATAAGAATTGGGTGCCTCATATCGTGATTCACAGAAGAGCGATGCAATCTTCCGCCAACCCTCAGTATGCCATCACTATCTATCATGGGATTTAATGAGGTAAGTTTGCTATTCTTTTTAATCTGTCTTTTTTCTTTCAGGCATATTATTTCATCTTCAAAGTGCTCCATCTGACATAGACGAATGCAGGTAAGTAATGCTTTATTTATTTCCTCTGTCGTTAGAGACGCTGTAGCTTTAAAATTATCCTTGCTTTTTGTTTTCAAAAACCTTTTGCAATATGCTACGACTCTAGTTAACCTTTTTAATGATGAAAATCTTGACAAAATATTATTTTCTTCATTATGTGTAGTAACATGACATGCTATTTTAGATATTTTCATTTCTAACGTAGTTTCCTTTATTTTGCTTCTATCGTAGTTAACTATTGCATCCTTTAACCAGTCCGGTCCTCTTTTCCAGAGTTCTAGTTTGCTGTAGTCATCAGGTTGGACCCCCCTGGATGCGCAGTCAGCTGGATTTTCCTCAGACGGTACAAATGACCACTGGGTACTGTCTAAAATGGTAAGTATATCTGCCACTCTATTCCCAACAAACGTTTTCCATTTGCTGGGATGGCTACTTATCCAAGCTAGTACTACCAGTGAATCAGACCAAGCATAAAGATTTTGTTTTGGAATTTTCAGCGTTCCTGCGACCTCATCGAGAAGCTTCGCGAGCAACACAGCTCCGCATAGTTCAAGGCGTGGGATGGAAATTTGCTTTATCGGTGCAACACGAGATTTTGAGGTAAGTAAACTAACATGTATTCGTCCTTCACTATCTTCAATACGTGCGTATACGACTGCAGCGTATGCTTCACTGGAAGCATCGGAGAACCCGTGTAATTGGATACATTTATCATCACGCTTCGAATTTATCCAACGCGGCAGACGAAAGTTGGTAAGTCCTCTCAAGGCTGCACGATATGATATCCAATCCTTCAACAATTGTGGTGGAAGTTCTTCATCCCAATCGATACCTGAGAGCCAAGTTCTTTGTATGAACACCTTAGCTTTAATTATAACAGGAGCCAGCCAGCCGAGTGGATCAAATAATCTGGCTATATCCGAGATGATTTTTCTTTTAGTTATTGGTTGATCCAGTGGAGGTAGTTGGACTTTATATTCAAACTCATCGGTTTTCCTGTTATATCCCAAACCTAAAATTTTAAACATTTCATCAATATTAAATTCTAAATTATCTTTCGAAGCATTGTTTTGTCTTAATTGTTCCAGTAATTCTGCACTATTACTAGACCACTTTTGTAATTGAAATCCTCCACGGCCAAGTAACTCATTCATCTCTTTGTATATTTTTAAGCCTTCGCTAACGTTTTCACAACCGCTCATTAAATCATCCATATAGAAATCCTTTAGAATTCGTTCAGCAGCTAAAGGATATTCTTGACCATCATCGTGAGCTAACTGTTGCATGCTTTTTACAGCCAAATAAGGAGCTGCAGATGTACCAAAGGTAACTCTTAAAAGTCTATAATGCTTCAGCTCTGAATTTTGGTTCTTGCGCCAAAGAATACGTTGAAAATCAACATGTTCTTCCGAAATTTTTATTTGGCGGTACATTTTGATAATATCCGCGATTAGGCATATTGGATGGCAACGCCATCGCATGATTAAATGTCTTAATTCTGGTTGCAAAGATGGACCGACTAATAACTCATCATTTAACGAGACGCCATTGCTATCCTTACATGACGCATTGAAGACCACCCGGACCTTAGAGGTGCTTTTATCCTCCCTGACAACGGCATGATGTGGAAGGTAAACTGCATCTTTATTTCTCCCAGATTTTACTTCTTCCATGTGACCCAAACTTAAATACTCCTCCATTACTAATGAATACTTTTCCTTTAAATCGGGATTTTTTAAGAGACGTCTTTCTAGGCTTAAAAATTGTCGTTGACAGATTTCTCTTGAATCACCAGACTTGCAGGTTGGATCCTCATTCCTAAAAGGTAGATTTACAATATAACGTCCTGTGGCATCCCTTCTGGTAGTTTTCTGAAAAATGGATTCACATTTTTCTTCTTCCTTAGTAAGAATTTTAACATTGTTATTTGGCTCTGCTTCAAGTTCCCAAAACTTCTTGAGTAATTCATTAACATCACTCAATTTACTATGCATGCTTATAATACGACACCCGTTTTGAATATTTCTATTAAGAACTTGGCCTGATAAGATCCAACCGAACTGAGTATTTTGCGCTATAGGAGTGCCCGGAGGACCTTTGACTATACCTTCTAACAATATCTGGCCATAAACATCTGCCCCTAGTAGCAAATCTATCTTATTTGGAATATTAAATGACGGATCTGCTAACTCTGTAGACGAAAGTGTCGTAATCATTTCCACTGTGACATTTTTCTCTGGAAGAAGAGCGGTCAATTTACTCAGAACATGAGCCTTAACCGTGATAATAAAATTAGGATTAGTGCGAGACTGTATATTTACTATTACCATCGCTTTTGAAGAAAGTTTAGATTCTTCCTCTCCACCTATCCCTGATATGATACTCCTATTAGGTATTTTTCTTAACCCTAACATTTGGACTGCAGCTTCAGTAATAAATGACGCCTGCGATCCTTGATCTAATAAAGATCTAAACAGTATAAAATTACCTTTCCTCGCCTTAATTTTTACCATAGCAGTTGCAAGTAAAACTTGGCTAAAAATATTTGAATGGCAAGAAATTACATTATCGGTCTCGCTTTGTGAGGAGGTTGATGAAACTTCCCTAACCGACTTAACAGCTTTGATCTCCTCATCTGATTTAGAAGGTTCCGTAGAATGCAGAAGAGAATGGTGTTTTCTCTTACATATACGACATCTGGTAGACTGTCGACACGAATATACCGAGTGATTCAATCCGAGACAATTAAAACATAACCTTTTAAGTTGGACAAAATTACGACGTGAGTGAACATCTTCATTAGCAAACTTTTTACAATTATATAATTTATGGTCTCCAGAACAATAACCACAAGAGATTGCATTTGAGACATGAAGTGCCTTTATATCATTATTACGAGTGTATTTTTTATTCATTTTTGGATCTATAAACTCCAATGCCCTATATCTATGTTCCAAAAAATCATTAAATTGACTTAGTTTAGGTAATTCTTGTGAAACATCTCCTATGTAGAGTTCCCATTCCTTTCTGGACTGTGGATCGAGTTTTTGGCTAATCATATAAATAATAATAACATCCCAACTACTGACATCTATATCCAAGTTTCTCAAAGCACTTAAACATTCGTTAGTGGTGTCTAATAATTCCTTAATAGTATTAGAAGTTTCTACTGTAATGTTCTTTTGATTAATAAGCCTTCTCAAAATACAATTTGCTAGGTACCTTTTGTTATTATATCTATGTTCTAGCTGTGTCCAGCAAGTACTGTAATTATCCGATGTAATAGGTACATAACGTAATAATTTTTCAGCTTCGCCTGTGAGATGGCCCTTTAAATATTGTAATCTTTGAACATCATCTAAATTATTATTATTATGAATAAGAGACAAAAATAAGTCACGAAAACTAATCCACTCATTATAGTTACCAGAAAATATAGGTAATGATATTTTTGGTAATTTTACATTGCATATATTTTGTTCTTCTTTTTTAGCTACTTTCAATGTACACTCTTCTTTACGGACCAAACTCTTTAAAACATCCTTTAATTCAGACTTATAATCAAAATATAATTCTTCTGTAATTTCAAACACATCACTCTTATAATAATCCGTACTATCCAAATCATAGTTTGCAATAAGTTTATTATTATTTTCCACAAATACGGACCACTGTGATTCCAAAGCCTCGAGTCGTGTTTCAATATAAGAAGGAGTTAAACGTTCTTTAGGTGATTTTTTGAAATTTATTTTTGCTTTATTTATAGTTTTATTACAATTATATTGCACCTTTATCAAAGATTCCATTTTTAAATTTTATTTTTTTTTTTTAATGAAAATTTAAAGTCCAAAAAAAAAAAAGTTTTAAATTTTACAAGTGTTTGGTATCACCTTTACACGGCACTAAAATCGGGCATAGGTTCCCCGTATTGTCACTTTTCTTAAATTTATTCTAAGTCCATATTTTAACTTCAACTTATTTTCGCAAATTTTAATGAATTTAATTTTTAAAGTGTCTATCACCACTGATTTTAATATAAAATAAAAGTACTTACAGTTTCCGTGCACTTTACTTAACTCACACCACTAATCTCTTGTATACGTCACTTCGGTAGTTGCCACCCATTGGCAGTAGTCACTCGTGCTGAAGGATTTTTTCAGGCCTGTCGCTTGTTCACCAGAGACTTCTGCTTCTTCACCTCAGGAGCTCCGGCTTCGCCCTTGACAACAATCCGTTGCCCGTGGGTGCGAACACTCGGTACTTCTCACTTTACTGACACTCGGTCGCGCGTCGCATGTCCGTCTCGATAGGACCATGTACAATCTTCTAAACCACTTATATAATTGAGTCACAGTAAAACAACTATATGAGCGAAGACAATTTATTCACCAAAAAAGATTTTACTTATAGTAATTAGCAGAACCAAACCATAGCGTGATTCAGAGAACCGGTAACGCCATCTAGTTAAAAACATATAAACTATTTTTATTCTTATACTAAACAAATATGTAAAATCTAAGAATTTGTTTATTGGTCATCTGAACGCTGGCGGAGCCGCGGGCAGTGCTAGTTTATCTATAAATTTTAAAATCTAACATGCAATGCGAAATTGACTTAATCATACTTGTGAAACATGTGATTACAAAAATGTTGAAACTAATATTTATATAGACATGACTGTTTTATAGATAATTTTATGTCCATTCAGTAGGTAGGTAATTACCAGTTTAATATACAAATGTTTAGTTTAACATTTGTTAATGTAAGAAATAAACATATACCTAGTACATTTTTTTTAAAACATTTCAAGTTTTATCTACTTTTGTGCTATTTCTATTCTACACTATAATAGGTATTATTTTTTATGTTTTACTAGCGACTTACCCTCGTTTTGCTTATGTGCGTTCCTAGGTGTCTTAGAGTAGCTATTTGTCACTCCTGATACATAATCTACATACTTAATTACATTCAAATATATCTAACTGTAAGAGTAACAACATACACACACATACAAACTTTCACAATTCGATGTCATAAATATTAATAATCCATTTATCAATAATACAATAATTTGGATAAAATAAATGATTTAAACATTTTCCCTTAGGCCCGAGGTAGACGTGCGCGCTATCGTAGTGACAGACGGAGAGCGTATATTGGGTCTGGGTGACTTGGGCGCGTGCGGTATGGGCATCCCCGTGGGCAAGCTGGCCCTCTACACAGCTCTCGCTGGCATCAAACCACATCAGACTTTACCCATTACTCTTGGTAAGTTTGTCAATTCAGAATCACTTTAATTGGACTTCAACATGATTGTGATTAGTTTTTCAAGCTTCCTACCTCCTTAGTTCTATAGGTCACAAACTGCCCTAGCCGTTATTGATTGGAAACTTACTTTCAAATCATACCTTCCAAACCAATGTTTTATTAGAACCTTCCGAGTGATTCTTAGTTATACGCAACAAAAATCAAACTGTTTAAAGATATATGTCGTTAACACATTACAGATGTCGGTACAAACAACCAGACAATGTTAGACGACCCACTCTACATCGGTCTGCGCCAGAAGCGCGTGCGCGGCGCCGCCTACGACGAGTTCATAGACGAGTTCATGCAGGCCGTAGTAAAGCGCTTCGGGCAGAACTGCCTCATACAGTTCGAGGACTTCGCCAATGCTAACGCTTTCCGTTTGCTCGAGAAGTACCGTGGCAGGTGAGACGATGTGATTTATTGTTTTAGGGAAAATTTCATATAATCAACAATTTCCTTTCAAAATTCTTGGCGCCATTTATTATAATCGTCCTGAAGTGTGTTAAAATTTCTAAGTGCTAAACTTGTTCAATATCCATCCAACGATTTACGCGTGATTGATTTATACCTACATACGAGTATAAACACCGACCTTTAATATTTACATATAATAAAAAACTTTTATAATCAAAAACTGTCAACTTTATGTTAATTACTAGCAGAACCCGTGGCTTCGCTCGCGCTAAAAATCTGATATACGCATTGTTTTATTTATTTGTTTAAAGGTAAGAGGTTATAGGTAGGTTCCATACTAACTTTCATCCCTCATTTTACCCCTTATGGGATGTATTTAGAAAAATGCTAAAACACGTATTCATTTAATTGTATTGAAGAGCTTAAGTACCAAATTTTAAGTAATTCTGATCATAAATATTTTTTTGGGGTGTATTATAAAGTGTTTTCCCGTGGGAATGAGATAATATCCCACGGTAAAAACTAGCCTATGTTACTCTCTAGACCTCCAACTCTCTCCACATAAAAAATCACGCAAATCCGTCACTCCGTTTCGACGAGAAAGAAGGACAAACAAACACACTTTCACATATATAATATTAGAATGGATAGTACAAATCGTAACATAAGACGTTTTCTTTCCACATAACCCAATATACTCTTTGATTAATACTGAATTATAAATTGAGGATAATTCATTAAACTCATTTTGGATTTAGAAATTATGCAGTGTTAATTTTTATCGGTGGAGAGTGGAAAACGGAATTAGGTCAATAATAAAAATGAAAGTACAAAAGATATGTACAATATCTTTTGTATATAAATGCTATATTAATAAATATATAGTAGTAACATTTAGAATTGCTTATTTTAAATATATATTTATGACTTTCAAGTAATTATTGCCAACTTTGTTTCACGACTACAGCCTTGACGGCTCGGTGATTTTTTGTATCATTATTTTAATGACATTGCAAAATTTCTACACACATCGGTTCTTCATCTTTAAAATAAAGTTTTTTTTTAAATAATGACTTCTTAAAATAAGTAATTAACTTTAATTGAATTGACATCAACATATAATTTAAAAGTAAGTAATTATTATATCAACTAGATTTTTTATCAAAATTCAACCAGTGGTCTCATTTTTATATAAATATTATAAAATTCATCTCCTAAGGCGGTAGAGAGTAGCGATTAAAGTATGGGATAAAAGTTTGTTTCGTTTATGGTCGGTTGCTATGATCATGGTCGTGATTTCCGTTGCCTAGTACGTAGCAAGGCTATTAATTATATATAGATGTTTGCTGGTGAGATTTGTGCTTAAGCTATCCTTTTAGACTAGCCAGCCGTCCCACGAACAGGGGACTGTGAGACCTAAGATAGGGTTGTCCAGCTACATCAAATGTTTGCTGATAATTTTACCTATTAATTGTATAGGTACTGCACGTTTAACGACGACATCCAGGGCACGGCGTCGGTGGCGGTGGCGGGGCTGCTCGCCAGCCTGCGCCTCACCGGCAAGCGCCTCTCCGACAACGTCATCGTGTTTCAGGGCGCCGGCGAGGTGAGATACCTTACTTGTGTTGTATTACTTTTTATCTACCTTTTTTACTATATTATCTGCCTTGTAGTGTGTTGAGAACTAGGATATACCTGCAGCTTTGCTCGCGTGATAAGTCTGACTCGACCAAAAATCGTCAAATACGAATGATCATAAATTTAGTGCAATAATGCTTAATATGTTTCTTTTCTTTATAAGTTTAGAACAATTAAGTGTTATTAAGATACTGGTTCGTAAGTTAATTAGGTTTCATTAAATACAGCTGTTTGAAAAAGAATATCCTATTAGCGACTTACACTCGCTTCGCTCGGGTGGGTCGCTCGTTCTTCGTTTGTTGTGTTACTCCAGGCCGTAGATTATCTATGTAGTGTAGTGTGTTCTGAATTTCATACAAATCCATTATAGTGTGAATAACAATAACAAATGCACTCACACATACAAACTATTACATTTATAACAGTCATTCAGTTGTAGTCTGATAGTAAAATATCCTTATTATTAAATATAAAAATATTTTTTCGTATTTGTTTCGTGGACTTATTTTGATTTTAGTTTTCAACGTTTCGAATACTTCACATTAATCATTGTCACGGGAGACTTAAATGGGGACGGGGAATTATTTAAAATTTCTATTATTAATATAAATCTAAGAAAGTATTGTACTTTCTTACCAATACAAACTTTCATCCCTATTTTCACCCCCTTAAGGGATGATTTCTGGAATAAACGGTATCCTATGTCCTTCCCAGGATCTCAATTTTTTTTCTTACTAAATTACATCTAAATCGGTTCAGTAGATCCAGAGATTACCCCCAACAACGTCACAAACTCACTAACTTTACTTCTTTATAATATTAGTACAGAATTACTTGTAGATTATTATGTATCATCTAAAGTCTCAAATCTCTGCCACAGGCTTCAATAGGCATAGCAGAACTATGCGTGAGAGCCATGAAGAAGGAGGGTACGTCGGACGCGGAGGCGCGCGCGCGCATATACCTCGTGGACTCCAAGGGGCTGGTGGTGAAGGACCGGCCCGAGGGCGGGCTCAATGAACACAAGCTGCACTTCGCGAAGGACTGTCCGCCCATCAGGACCCTGGCTGAAGTGGTCAACGTTACGAAGCCTTCTGTGCTTATTGGTATGTATACGTGGTAATAAATATAATGTTCCATTTGAGAGTATTTTAAGCTATCACTTCAATATATAATAAGGAATTTCTGTTGAAATATCTTTAGACGTTTTAAATTGTTTTTTTTTCGGTTTTGGCGGAGGGCGATTTTAAGGAGTGTTCAAGGTTTTTTGAGTTACATTTTTTTGCGGTTATATTTTGTTTTTGTTTTTTTTTTGTGAACTGTGCACTCCGTTTCGAATGTTCTTATTTGAGTTAATCAATGATAGTATATTGTATATATTCTGTTTATGGTTCTCTCTACTCAAAGGTTGTCTAGAATAGATCGCTCTCTAGTAATAAGGCCGCTTATTGTACTATTTTTCTTTAATCTGTTTCAACTTGGTATGCAATAAAGAATTTTTGGTTTGATAGTATATTATACATATTATGCAACATTAATAGAATACAATCATTATTCTAAACAACAACAACAACAAACAATTGACACGTTTGGCTCAGTTTGTAGTGATCCTACTTTCTGTGCCAGCGGTCGTGGGTTTGAGTCCCGCTGGGGGCATTCATTTGTGTGATAAGGACGACTACTTGTACTCCAGTCATGAGTGTTTATATTTATAATATGTATATATGTAAAGTTATATATGTGTAGTGTATCAATTATCTGGTATCCATAACTCAAGCCTCGTAGCTCACCATGGAACCAGATGATGCTGTGTGTTAATGTCCCAAGTCGCGTGCGCAGGCGCGGCGGCGGTGGGCGGCGCGTTCACGGCGGACATCCTGCGCGCGATGGGCGCCAACAACGAGCGCCCCGTCGTGTTCGCGCTCTCCAACCCCACCAGCAAGGCGGAGTGCACCGCCGAGCAGGCCTACTCATACACGGACGTGAGTTATATTACCTGTTAGAAGGGCTGCCAGATCGTATGATTGGATACGAAAATTGTAAAATATGGTTATTTTATGTATATTTCATTTTAAGTTATTACGTATTTTTACTAATTTTTTTTATTCGTCACGGACTATTTTTCTATAGGTTTGTTAATTTGTATAATAAAATTTGATTTGGTATAATTTCTGTGACCCAGCGGTATAAAATAAGTTGGCTCTACTGGCAGCAGTTGGCTCTACTGGCAGCAGTTGGCTCTACTGGCAGCCCTGCCAGTTAGATATTAGTTGATGTTTGTTGATGTTTACCTACTATTATTTATTATAGCTGATAGAATGTGTTTGTCTCTAACGATTAATTGATGTTATCGAAAATATTTATTCGCACCCGAATAATGGCGTGACTTATATACTCAATATGTTATACGGAACGGGTAACGTTTAAAGTAAATAGATTTGTCTCGCTCTGAGACAGTGCTTGCTTAGGCCTTAGGTAATATTATACGAATATCACTTACCTGTGAGACAGTTTGTATCGTTACTATACAATGTAATTTATTTTTCTTTAATTATTTTACTATCTCGGTTCTTTTCTGAATTTCATTGAATACCAAATGATCCGATACAACGAGATGTAGTAACAAGACCATTTAGGCAATAATGTAAGAGATATGTAATATATATCACTACATAGTATAAAACAAAGTCGCTTCCAGCTGCCTGTCTGTCCTTATGTAAGCTTAGATCTTTAAAACTACGCAACGTATTTTGATGCGGTTTTTTTAATAGATAGAGTAATTCAAGAGAAAGGTTTTAGTATATAATTTATTAAGTTTTTCTATACATTGGTTATAATATAACGATATTTGTTGGAGATTTCGAAAAAAAATAAGCCGTCTGGGAGCTTTCAACGAAAACACTGCCTAAACCCTTTGAGATATAACAACAGTCTACAGAAAAGTCCGCGATGGCATATGTCTATCTCTTAAGGATAACATCATTTTAATTCAAAATGTACCTAGGGAAGAAATTGCTCGGGGCAAGGCGATGGTGAGTCCTAGCGACTCACCATCGCCTCGCTATTGTACATTATTAAAAAATAAACCCATTCACCTAGTCACCTAGTATGATAATGTGGTGTATGTATGTATGTACGTATATAGGACCGCGCCATCTTCGCGTCTGGCTCTCCGTTCCCGGACTACCGCACGAAGGACGGGCGCGTGCTGCGGCCGGGGCAGGGCAACAACGCCTACATCTTCCCGGGCCTCGCGCTCGGCATACTCGCCGCTGGCATCGTCGACATCTCCGACGACTTCATACTGCTCGCCGCTGAGGTGAGCACGCACACAGACACACGCACCTACACACACGCATAGACACGCGTGACGCTCGCAGCATGTACAATATTATATACGTCATACACATTAAACACACACAAGCATACACATGGAGGACAATAATATACGCATATAAATAGTCTTTCGTGCCAATTTCGGTCACGGTGTTCTTAATCTTATATTTAGGTTAGCCGTTTGTGCAAGAGTCAAGAGATGTAATAGTGTTACACACTCATACTTTTTTTATACTACTCATACTTTATTTCTTTGACTCTCAAAGTCCGATAGAATGACAATTCGCTAACAAGTAACAACACTGTTACCTACCATCGAACGCTGTTGCTTTCTGGATTACACGTGGCTCGATTTGGGATTCGAATATGGTATCTCACGATCTTCAACCGGATATACTAAACACTAGATAGCTGTTGGACCAACGAGGCATATTACTAGTACATGTATATTATACACCGTACAGTGCAACATTAATGCATTAATTAGACAATTGAGTCGCAGTTATTAACGCAATGATATACTTGAATGCGTATTCATACGAGTTTGGTACATAGTGAGGGAATGACTTTCAGGGTACTATTTATACCTACATTATTCGTTAAAGATGTTTAATGTTCATGGTTAAAAAAGTTATTACCAACACTATTAGCCTCTGTAATGTTCTTTTCAAAGAAAAAAATAATTAGGTACCATCACATACCTACATTAAATATATTTTTGTAAAACTGAAAGGACAAGAATTTCGGTATTTCATGAGAATTAACCATGAACATACTTGAAAGAAATACATGGCTGGTTTAAAATTATTTATTTATTATGTACCCAACACAGACGCTGGCCGAGATCGTGTCGCAGGAGGACCTGGACGCGGGCAGCCTGTACCCTCCGCTCGCCGCCATACAGGAGTGCTCCATCAAGATAGCCAAGAACATCGTCAAACACGCGTACACTACTGGTATTATATTTGTTCCATTTATAATACTTTATATTTATTTTATATTAATACTAGCGACCCTTGTTTCACTCTGCCCCATCATCATCTCCCTGCTCATTTCCCAAATTAATTGCGGGTCGGCGCAATAAGTCTTCTATACTACTTATCAGTTTTGGCAAATTTTAGACCGGCTGCGTGCCCGACCCTCTTTAGAATTTCATTCGGATCTCTAGTGTTGAATGGTTTGGGAACGCCTAAAGAACAAACATACAAAGATATTTTTTTGGGCCAGGAATTTTCACAGACATTCACAGAAAAAATTACCAAAGTTTCATCACAATCGGATAAAAGAGTAGAAAGGAGCCCATGGAAGATAAAAATAAAAACATTCAGCACATTATTTATAGAAGAAAGAAAATAAAAGTATTATTTTTCAAATATTTTTTTTGTAGATTATGACTATAGAAGTCAAGTTTTTGTCGGTAACTTATTAATAGATTGCATTTTTCTATCTAAAGGACTTTTTGTCTCTTTGTCTCAAAATGAATATGATTATCATTACCTATAGTAATGATTATAATGATCAACATTATAATTTGTGATTGAAACAAACTTGTATTGGTTTTGATCATGTATCCACTAATGCGATAAAAATATGCTACGTTGCATGCCCCATAGAGTAACTTATATATACTGGCATGCCCCCTAAATAATGTTTTTATAAATGAATATACATATGTAATTTAATAAATTAATATACATATATAATAAGAAATCACAATCATAATTACGAGTATTACTTTTGAGAAAATAGAAGTTTTTATAAAATTGGTATATAAAAAATAACAAGACCGTAGTTTTTTAAAATTCCTCTTCCATATTAGGTATTTTAACAACTTTCTGTATAAGTTGATATGTAGGTGCTATTTATTACAGTAACCAAAAAAAAAGGTTTTCATGGGCTGGATCCATTTTGCATAACTACATCCAATTACTATCAACTATTATTAGATGTAACAAACAAAATATGTTGACATGTCACGTCATCCGTCAATTATACATTATCGTCACTCACGTCAATTATATATCCTTTTTATAGTCTCACGTCAAATATATATAGTTTTTTTAGTCACGTCAATTATATATTAGATGTAACAAACAAATGTTGAGATGTGTGTCTGTCTGCACGCAGGCAAGGCGTCGGTGCAGCCGCAGCCGACGGACGCGGAGGCGTTCGTGCGCGCGCAGGTGTACGACGTGCGGTACGCGCCCGCGCTGCCCGCCGTGTACGAGTGGCCCGCCGCCGCGCCGCGCGTGCACATGATGTAGACACATCACAAATACACGCTATAATCCATACAGTTTCAATACAATTCAATTTTCTTATTAATAGCATCAAACCGTGACAGTTGAGCACAGATTATTTCGCCAAATCCATACAGTTTATAATCGTTAATTTATTTTAACGGACTGTCGAATGCAAAGGTTGTCAAATAGTAATTCCCTATTATCCGTTATTTTTTTTATATGATAATGCCCGTTGATTTTATACATGGAATTGTTTAATGCAAGTGTTGTTAAATACCAATTTTCATAGCGATATCGTGACGATTTAGTTATATCCGTTACCGTCAAAGCTAAAGCCATTTCCCGACTGTCATATGTAAGGAAAGTCGGTATCGCGTCTCACCTCCCAACTTGGAAGTCCCAAGCACCGCGCGATTACAATGTTTAGAAGCCTTCGTTAGACTGTATGGATTAATAGACTTATGTACATCTACCTGCCCTACTATTTTGTAATCGATTTAAGTATTTTTTGATTATAAAGCAGTAGGTATTGTTAACAACTATCGCTTTATTTTATTTAAACATACCTATTTAACGTTATACGGCATTCTACACATTATACATCTGCCCTACTGCTTTGTAATTAATTTACATGTCATTTCTTACTTATTAAAGAGTAGGTGTCATCAACTGTTCGCTATTGCTTCAATTTGTTATTTAAAAATATATTTGATGTTTCATTATTTCGTGTTTAATGTATATATAATACATTGTATTCTGTCAGTAAAATTGTAAAGTGCAAATTGTATAAATATATCGTGCTAATCGTGGTACTGCAGTGCCAAGTGCGGTGACGCTTCAGTCTATTTTCATAGTGATATGACGTAATAAACGGGATAGTTTTTTCGAATTTTGCTCTGCCAAATGTTTGTACTTTGTTTTTGAATCCATAAATTACAGGAATATATTATATCATCTGCGTCAACTATCTCTATAATTAGATGAACGCGTACTCTTAACATTCCAATTATCTAAAACTTCCGCGTATTCTAAGTGTATAGAGTAAACGCAACTGAATCGAATTTATTTTTTAATTTTTTTATTAGGCTTTGTGATATATAGTGAGATTTAGAACTTTCTAATATGGAATGTGAACAATCGTTACCACTAAAAAAAATATATTGTTTTTGTAAAATTGAATATTAACATTATTTATTTATTTATTTTCATTTTGGATATAATCTTGTGTGTAGAGGATTTAGGTTATAATATTGAACAAGCTAACTTTAAAGGACCGGACATGATGCAAACACTATTTGTAAAGCATTCAAAATAAATTATTATCATAAAATAAATGTTTTTTTTTATTTCTACTTCTTCAAGTATATAAAACTAAAGTTGCCATTAAGAGAGAACGTTTTAGCGACAAATCATAACAAACGCTCGTCTTTCATTTCTTGCACATCGTGGTTGAATGACCTATTTGTTCTTCTAAAGATTCCTAAAAATAAACGCTAATTGAGGACGAATAAACAGCTAAATAGCGTTCTAATTATCAACACATACGTCATACGAGTGAAAATATCGATTTATTGAAACGTGCATGATTTTACCTCGACATACAATTGAAAAACCTGTTATGTTTATTCATAGAGGTCAAAGAAAAGATTGCTATAGAAGTAATTCCAAAAAAAAAAAATAAGTAATTTCTACATGGTCTCAACAAAAACCTAGCCTTGTTAATTAATTTGTTGTTAATTAATCTGCTGAATTCGACATTTTTTTCTACTTATTCGGTTACTTATACCACAGATTATATAATAAAATATCTGATTGATCATATATTATACTGATTACGGTTACGCTGACCCAGCTAGCTAGATCGAGAGTAGATAATGCATTTCAAGAAAACTAGGTTTCTGACAATTTTCTCGCTATGTATGTTGTTTAATGTTATCGTACTATAGTCTGTACAATGATAATAATATTTTATCATCATTCTACAGGTTTAAGATAAAATTTATAGACCTGATTTAAGTATATGACCAAATTTTCAAAAATACAGTCGAATTGAGAACCTCCTCCTTTTTGAAGTCGGTTGAAAATCAAAGATGTTCGATTCGAGTGTATGTTTTTATATGGTAATGAACTGAGTTTCATAATTTTGTTTTAATAAACAGTATAGTATGACAGTTTGATATACATACGTTTGTTTAAAAAATGCATTTCTAAGGTTGGAATGATAATAAGTCTATTGTTTCTTGAAGTCTATATACCTTTTTTTATAAGAGGTTATTTATTATTAGGAATTATGAATGCAATCGTGTCCGATATTCAATTAGCCCGAGAGCTCGCGACGAATTTTGGGAAGGTCCTTTTGGCAAGTTGAAATTGCGAAAAAATATAATTTCGTGAATTGGCGAGTCCAGTCCCGCGAGTCTGGTATAGCTTTAGCGGTTATTTCGCTACTGCGCAGTATTCACAGCGCGAGGACCTTGGGCCCCCATCAGCTGCTGGAATACCTCGATAAGCTTTCTTTCTTACACTTAAAAATACTTTTTTGTAGTACTAATTTGTAAACTTTATTTACGTCTGGGAAGGGTTTAAAACCGCCAAATTCGTCTGGCAATTTGCAAATATGATTGAAAACTACTCAATAAATACGTGATTAAAATTTCAGATTGCCAAAAGTATGTTTTTTGGAATAAAAAAAAATGAGTCTTTGCAGAGGTCTGGCAATACTTTATAACCGACAAAAACGTCTGGGGTGCTTTTTTTTTTGAATTATATGAAAGCTAAATTAAAGGATTAAACAAAAATCAAGTTGCCAAAAATATGTTTCTTTGGATATATTTTTTGAAAATATTGTATACTGCGCAGTAGCGAAATAACCGCTAAAGCTATACCAGACTCGCGGGACTGGACTCGCCAATTCACGAAGTTATATTTTTCGCAATTTCAACTTGTCAAAAGGACCTTCTCAAAATTCGTCGCCAGCTCTCGGAATAAATTCAATTATGAAAAACTCCAAAGTCAATGATCTAAATATTTTTATAAAGCACATATTTTCAGACATAAGGGAAATACAAATAATTTAAGAACCAATAAATTTGATGAAACAAATGAATAGAAGTTTGATCAAAAATAGCAAATATGAAATTTAAATAATTGATATAAAGTTACTCAAGATACATAAAAAAATAAAACAAAATTAATCTCAGACCAACAGTCTTTAATCCAAGTAGTAATTATTTATAAATACAAATTGAGAAGTACCGATTCACAACAAAATATAGCCTAGATTATAATGTTCGACAAAATAATTACATCACTTATCACTTCATAACAATGTACATGATCACACGCGTGCGGCGGCCGGCCAGTGTCGGCCAGCGGCGGCCAGTGTCGGCCAGCGGAGGCAAGCGTCGGCCGGTGGCGGCGGGCGTGTCGGCGAGTCGGCGGGCGCTAGCGGCGGGCCGTGTCGGCCAGCGGCCTCGCGCCTCACCTGCTCAGCGAGTGCGAGCGCTCACGGGACCCTGAACTCTCACCGTTGCAACGCGCGCGGTCATTGCCTATAACATATAACCAAATATATATTTTTTTATACTATACTAAATACATAACATGGCCTTTTTATTTATTTATGCAAATACATTTATAATGTTTTAGTAGAATTTAATTACTTGATAAACATCAATTAATACACATAATTAACTACAAATATCTACTTTAACAATGTAAATACATTTGACTGTTTGAATTTGGTATAGAAAATGGTATCTAATAGTGGTTGAGAGAATAATGATGAGGTGACTATGAGCATGCTAATTTTTTTTAGAGATTCCATGAGATGCATTCATTCCAAAATAAATAAATATACAATGAAATTAAACAATATAAAATAAAAAAATAAAATAAATCACTTAAGAATTTTCAAAAGTAAACACGTTTGTTATATACTAATATCGAAGAAAGCAAGACTATTATATATTGCACACTGACAGTAAAGAAACGAAAATTTGAAACATGTCGCACCATGTGTTCGCACGAAAAAAAACAAAGCTGTAAGCGTGTACCGAGTTAAGACAGGCCTGACCTAAGAAACGACGGCCTTGTAAACTGGTATCCTATAACAAACAACATGTATCACACATTGGCAACTCGTCACTCGCTTATCTATACATTGGCATCTCTGTATCCGTTTGACTTTGACATAGATTCCTCAACAGAAATTTTGCAATGAGCAAAATGAATGTTAGAAACCTAATAATATTTGCTAAGAGAAATTCATTTTTTCGTTATTCATGTAGCACATAACAAAAAAATATTAAGGTACATAATTCAAAGCTACATTACGCGTTTGTTTTCAACGAAATTCTCAAATCAAATTGTAAATAAAATTGAAGTGTCTGTTTGTAATGTTGTACCAATTTTAAAATAACAGCTTTTTTTACGTTAAGAAATCGAAGACTTATAAGAAAGGAAATGTTTGTATGGTATTATTATAGCAAAGGACATTTTTCAATTCCGATTGAATTATCTATATGCGGCACTTGATATGAGATTTTATGAGTATTCTAATGGGGTATTATGTCATTTAAGCAGACAATAAATAAAAACGTATGTGAGGATACTGTGAATTCCAATATCCATAAGCTTTTATTTAAGATAATTAAAATATGTGAGGTTGTTGTTACTTATTGCATATTTAATAATGGCTGGTTTTACCTAAGTAGCTCAAGATTTCTTATGCACACCAAATTTTTTTTTTTAAATACAAGATTATTATCCATTTTTATCTTATTATTTGAGGATAATTTAATTATATAAACAAAACGCTTAACAAAATTAAAACGAATTCTGAACGAGTCTAAATAAAATTTTCAACATGTGCTTATTATAAACTTTTAAATCTTAAAATAATTATTCAGCCAAGGCTGCAACAATATGGTTTATGGTCATATCAGTTAATTATGTCAAGTAGTGAAGTAGATTTGTAATTATGACAGCTTTAATTATACTAATTCAAATTAATTTTGTAGTGGACAGATTTTTAAAGTATCATAATATAATGACCTCGGTACTCAAGTGCCTAGTTGCATTGCCTCGATGATTCAGAGGTCCTGGGTTTGAGTCCCCGGTCAGGCCAAGCTTAGTTATTTAGTTTTTCTGTAAGAATTTTTCAGTAACAGCTTGTAGTTGGGAGGTAGGCGGTGCTTCAGTCCCGTACTTCAAAGAGCACTTAAGGCTATCGGATCCTGCGGCTGATCTCACGCCGGGGGCGTTGTATTGTCGCCCCACCGGAAAATGAGAGTGAAAGGAATGGAGTGCACACACTAATATGTGCACTATTATATCTTGGACGAACACGGCTAGTCACACAATCGTTGAATTGGTCGGGAGTTATAAAATTAAAAGGACAAATTTACTATTTTGACATTTGATGTTGATGTTTTTCGTTCTGTGGCATGCCATTTGGGCACATTGACATTTGTTATGGCCATTACATAAAGCTGTCAAATGACTTTTCAAATTGTCAAAAACTTTTGCTTTTGCCGTAGTGGCGCAAGAAACTGTTTGCTCTGAGATAGCTTATTGTAATATATTATTTATGAATAAAAAATGAATGGTTCTTTATCCATATCTAATGTTATAAAAGTGAAAGTGTGTTTGTTTGTTTATCCTTCTTTCACGTCGAAACGGAACAATGGATTAGCGTGATTTTTGTATGGAGATAGTTCGCGAGGGTTGGAAAGTGACATTGCACACTTTTTACAGCGGGAGATTGTCCCATTCCCACGGGAAAACAATATAATACAATCCAAAAAAATATTTATGATCAGAATTACTTGAAACTTGATATTAATGTAGGATCCGGGGATACTAATAAAAGCGTTTAAAACACTAGTAACTATTTATTCTTCTAAAATCAGATAATACAATGTTTACGCGTCTCGTCGTGTCGTCATTATGACACAATATTTTTCTTTCCTTTTATTCATCTATTTCATTCCATTCCATTCTTAAAATTCTAACATACGTCTCTTTTTATTCTTAAAATATCATTTCATGCATACTCATCTTGCAGATCCTACATTAATGCTCTTCAATAAAATAATTTTTCGAAATGCATCCTATGAGGAGGTAAAATAGGGGATGAAAGTTTGTACTTATGAAACTACCTTTTTAGAGATTTTTTTATATTTTTAGCGTGAGCGAAGCCACGGGTTCTGCTATTTATAAATTAAAAAATGAACGAGTGTTATTATTATTATGATTACACAATGCGATGTGTACCTAGCCTCTGGTGCGGCGGCAGCTTGCTGAAGAAGGGATGCTTGAGCGCGTCGCGCAGCGTGATGCGCTGCGACGGCTCGTACTCCAGCATGCGCGTGATCAGCTCGAACAGCTGTCTGTGCTCTTCGCTGTTGCTCTGTAGATACCTCTGCGACGGGACAATTTTACATTGTATATAGTTTATGTACGTTTTAATCTATACAGATAAATATAATTGAAGTGTCTGTTTGTAAGTCAAAATAACAGCATTTTACTAAATGTATATGAAATTATATACGGTACTTATAAGAAAAACACATTTGTTTTAATTTTTGTTGTCTGTCTGTTTGTTCCGGATAATCCCTGAAACAGCTGGACTAATTTTGACGGGACTTTCACTGGAAGATAGCTGATGTTATAGAGAGTAACATAAGCTACTTTTATTTTAGAAAAAGATTTAGGGTTCCGCGCATTAAATTAAAACGTACCAAGTTTATATAAATTTGAATTTTATTTTAGAATGGTGAATTTATTATGTATTAGCTGACCCGACGGACGTTGCCTTGTCTAAATTTCAATATTATTTATGTGCTTTGGAGGTCATATAATAATTGTATAGAAAAAAACAGGTTGTTATTTCTCTGAAAAATTCTAATATTTCAGACAACTTTTCTTATTTTTTCCACCAATAACATTATTCAGAATATAGGTAATTTTAAACTAGCTAGATCAAAAAGATTTAAACAAGAATTTTTCAAATCGGCCCAGCTGTTCTCAAGAGCTAAAACAATCTTTAACAATGAAGATTTGATTTTGTTTGTAAAAATACTAAATATAAATTATAATGTGAATTGACAAACTTACCAAAAGTGGTTTGCAATTTTCTCTAACGTATCGGCCGGCTGACGATTTTTCATCCCAGTCCAATTTGCCATGGTAGAAATATTTTGTCCGTGTTTTTCGTGCCATTCTGAAAAAAAGGAAAATATTTTGTTGTAAATATTCATCAAAAATAACTATTTTTAAGTGAAAAATTATTAACTATGCATTTTAAACTTTTTAATTATAACAGTTTAATTGAATTGATCATATTTAAAGCTACTTTTACTTATACTTAATAAATTGCAAGGCTTTGTGAAAGTGTTTATTATTTGTGTTTAAATTTTTCTTTTGTTTCCTTTGTAATCATCCCATGCTGAAAAATCTCGCGGCTAATAAACGTTACTTTCAACCAGTTTAGTACCTAAAAACCTGTATTATTTTTAACAACTGCAGCGTAAATCTCATCAAGTGGGAGTATGTATTAATACAGAAATATATATATATATATATATATATATATATATATATATATATATATATATATATTTACTAGCGGACCCGACAGACGTTATCCTGTCTACACGTCTTTAATTTGAAAATTTAAAACTTTTTTTAATAATTTTTTTGATAAATATTATTATTTAAATTGTGAATCTAAACCATTCCCAGATCCCCTTGAACACACACAAAAAATTTCATCAAAATCGGTCGAGTCGTTTGAGAGAAGTTCAGTGACATACACACTCACAGAAGAATTATATATATAAAGATATATATAAAATTATAGCAAAATAATTTTAAGGTAAGACGTGTTCTGTAGACCCTTCGCTACTGTATGGTATGTACATGTTGTGGTATGGTATGTACCTGTAGGGTATGGGTCCGAGGATGCGCTCCATCATGGCGAGATGCTCGCGGTTGTCGTGCGTCTGGAACAGCGTGATACCGAGATGCAGCTCGAACATTATGCAGCCGATGGACCACACGTCGCAGGGCTGCGACCATCCTAATTCTGTACAAGTAAATAATATATATACAATTCAATTCGGGTACATCATTTGTTTATTTATTTTAATATATTTGATATATAATACACAAGTAATTTTTAAGTAACTCATATAAAAATTAAAATAAGTACATAAATTTAAAATGTATATCGCATTTAAACGATAACTCAAAATGTTGCAATGAAGCTCTTTTTGATTATTGATCAAACGAAAGATCGATTAAAACATAAAACAAAATATCCAACTAAGAAATAAGTAAAGATATTGTTTGAAGTCACAAGAGGTAAAAAGCTATTCATTAGCTAAAAGCCTAAAATACGGATCCCTTTCTCTAACGAATACAACGCCATAAAAACTTGGCTATTTAAATTTATTACACATAATATGATAAAACCATTTGGAACGGCATTGAAAATTACATTATAATTATAAATACAAAATAAAATATAAAGAGTGTTATTTCATTTAAAAAAATTAAAGGCATTTAATTCATACGTAAACTAAAATAAACTAGCAAAATTTATGCAAAATAAATACACGTCAATTATATTTCTTAAACACATTGGACAACAAAGGAAGACATTGACCAAAGCTATAAATCTGAACAAGGCCAAAAAGAAATAAAATGAAAACGTTTAATGTTGAGAGAGAAGGCTACAACATTTTTATGGATCGTGTAAACATTACTTTCCTTAACCATCAAAAGCGAATTTTTAACAATAAATATAAAACAAATTCAAACAAAATTATTCTGTTTCTCAAAACTCATTAAAAAGTATAAACAATTAAATCAAATGAAGATTGTTATTACATATTTAACAATTATCTAATTTACATATTACACAAAAATTTAAAAATTAAATTAAATTTCAACACGCAAGGATATTCAATCTGATAAAAACGTTATTAAAAATACTAGCTGTCTCACTTCGAGTTTACTACATCTAAAATTCGACACGTCATACAATACTAAACCTACTTTCACATTTTTTCTGTACCCTAAGTAGAAAGACATGTAATACGACATCATAAAAATAATTCTATCATTCCATCAAAAATTTCTGAGACACAACTACATTCATTCGGAACCCTAATATAACAATATAAAAAAATTGCCTTATGGGTTATATACCTCTTTTTTTTTGAAGTAGTTTATTTATTACTACTACTACTAATCGTATAACAATATCAATAACATCACTAAGTACGTACGAGTAATTCGATAATCTGTAACAATTAGTATAGACGTATCTAGTATAACCACCGGCGCGCGACAGTGGTAACTCAGTGGTAACGCGCTCGCTTGAAATAGCAGCGGGTTCGAATCCCGGGTCTCGCACCTTTGATATTTAATGTGCGAATCATTTCTAACATGATTACCCATTTGCTTAACGGTGAAGGTATATACTGAGGAAACCTGCATGTCTGAGAGGATCTATAGTCTGTTTTTTAGTCTCAAGAGACTAAATTGACACATGCAAATGTCAAATTTACAAATAATGCTGCCAGCTCTTTTGTGCAGAGTTGTGCGTACGGTACCGATTTGTTGAATCGTAACTTTTTATCTTTATTAAACGATTCGCTTCGAAGTTTTATATTCAGTGTATCATTAAAATTCACGTTATTAATTCTAAATCATTAAATATCATATTTATTAATTTTGTATATTACGTTTTAAATAAGTACCTACACATTATTTCAGGATAAATTATTATAAAAAAACGATACTTAATTAACGTTAATTTTCGATAGTGGCACATCACTATTTAAGAATTGCAAAAAACTGGCAACCCATGTTATGTCAGTTTTGTCTCGTGATATTAAAAAACAGACTATAGTAAGTTTTCGAAAGACATGCTCAGTTCGTCCGCACTAGGCCAGCGTGGTGGACTATGGCCTGACTCCCCCGCATATCGGAGGGCGGGCCGCGGCCAGCAGTGGGTCCTGTGCATGCCACGCACCTAGTATGACCTCCGGCGCGCGGTAGTGGCGCGTGGACACGATGGTGCTGTGGTGCTCGTGGTCGAACGTGGCGCTGCCGAAGTCTATGAGACGCACGTCGCTACGCTTCACACGTCTTAGGTCGTGTTTCTGTCAATTATAAGCTTTTCTTTAATTTTTATATACATATAACTTTAACATAATTCTCTATATGAATTCACATCGTAGATTTTGGAAATGGATAATAACATATTTTACATTTCATTAACGTACAAAGTAGCAGAAAAATAGTTAGAAATTAATATAAATTATATATCTTTAAATATATTAACCAATAATGCTTGAGAAATAGAAGCTGTCATAACATTATTATGTAGAATATAATTAAATATGAAATGACTATACAATTCTTTACAATTCCTTCCGAAGTTAAATTAATAAGGCTCTTACCACGACAAAAGTGGACATTTTGCAACAATAACTCTAGTTATATAGGCTATTTTAGCACAAAAAGAATGAAAATAAAATGCCAATTTTTGAGACGTTTACCTTTTTGGAGCTATTATAAACGCTGAGCACCTCGTAATCACTATCTACAAACAGTATGTTCTCGGGCTTGAGGTCGGTGTGGGTCAGCTTGTTGTCGTGGAGGAAGAGCACACTGTATATGAGTTGGTAGGAGATGTGCCGCACCTGCTCGAGCGGGTACGGCTGGTAGTTGTTGTCTTTCTGTAATACAAATGCTTTACTTTAACATTTATTATTTAATCTATCACTTTATTAATAACTAGCGATAGCACTCTGGCTTGTCTCGTGTTCGTCCTAGGTACGTTTTAACGATTAGTATGGAATTGTCGTTCTCTTGCTCTGTGAAAAACAAAAACAAATCTATCCCACAGGAACCATACATTTTTTCGGGATAAAAAACCTATGCACTATTTAAGACTATAATCTATCTCTGTGCATAGTTTCACCCAGATCCGTTTAGCCGTTTTGGCGTGATTGAGTAACAAACATCCATCCGTTCAAACTTTCGCATTTATAATATTTTTATTATGGGATATTTAATTAGTTCGATAAACTATTCGCATCCGCTCTGAATGAGGTCAAGTGTTTGTACTTGAACAGTAATTATGTATGTTTTGAATATATATTATGCGATTAGTGATATAATTTTTTTTTATCTTAATACTGTTGAAGTTTATAAAATATTTTTATATAATTACTGTAATTAAACACTGCAAATAAAATTCAGCATTTACAAAATAATTAAAAATAATTAGATATAACTTGAATATTAATATTGGCTTAAATAATTTAAATATATTCCATAGTTTGATATGTTAATATTTCCTGTAATAGTTATGAATAGTAAATAGAGAGAAAGTCTACAAAGAAACTTTCACAAAAAAGCTGTTTTACATATTTTTTAAGTTTAAAGCGATATAAAATACACAATTAATTTATATATTACCTAACAGTATGTCCAGTTGTTATAGAAATTTAAAAATAAAGTTTTAGTTAAATAATAAATCACTATATAAAACTTAAAAAATCACAGACCAGATAAATAAAATCAGTCAATTTATTATTTATTATTGACAATTTCATAGGACATTGTAATATGACTATTATGTTATTTTCCTGATACATATTTTATTACGGAAATATTACAAATGGTCAGTGCAGGCTGAGTCAGTGTAATATGTTGTTGTAATGCAAGTGTTACTCACCAGGAAGTCGAATACACTCTGTCCGAGCATTTCAAATGCGATACACATGTGTCCGTGGTACTCGAACCAGTCTAACATCTTAACACATAAACTGAAAAGAGAACATAAATTCTTTAAACCAATTGTCTTTGGTAGCTTGCACCTAGCAGAGTCTATATAAAGGATTGCTGCGATTTATTTATTTATATGTATTACAAAGGCATTACGTGTATATTTATAAAGACAAGTATAACCAGTGAAAGTAATACACGTGCCACGCAATAAGAGCAACAGATATTTATTTTGGATAGTAAAATATATCGTAATATACCTTCATATAGGTACAAGATCAGTGTGAGATACCATAAAATATACATATATAATATTTTTTATTAACAAAAAGTTTCTAAGGTGGGACTTAGTGCGGTATTTTAGTGTTTTGGTTGACATCGTCGTCTGGCGCGCCGCCAACGGACAAGGTCAGATACTAGCGTCTAATAACAGCGACGGAATTATCAACTCTGCACATTTTGATTCGATACATTTCTTTTTATTGTGGAATGAAGGAATCATTATATTAGTCTCGGTTGTTTTAAGTGTAATTAAACTTGTGAACAATTTCAATGTCTCAAAAATAAGAATAAATTAAAGACAGTAATCAAAACTCGTAATATACTTATTAATATTAACTATTAATGAGAATTTTGAATGCTATAATACATGGCTAATGTTAAAAGGAAAGGTTTTAAAATTGTGAATACTTACTTTTTACAGTCAGGGTCAATGTCAGCTAACTTTTCTAAAACATTAATTTCTAGTTTTGCAGCCTCTCTGTACTTCTCAACATTTTTAATAATCTTCAGAGCCATTCTGTGCTCCCTGAAATTTATAAAAGAAACAATTAGGGCGTTTTACAACTGGCGATAATTATTTATTTGACAAGACGCTGGCAACAGAATGGCCGGTAGATGTTAATATAAACAAATGAAAATAGAATCAGATTAATCAATATGGAATGCATTGCCAGACAATGTAACTTAGCAATTTTTAACATAATTATCATAAAAAGAAGACAATGATAACACACAATAATTATAAATACTATAAAACATATCTTTTAATTTTTATATATAAAAAAAATGAAGTAGTACTAGAAACAGTGCCTTAGCTTAATACTAAAAGAAGCCAAAATATTATAATACATATGTATTTCTTTATTTATAAAAATATTTATTCGATCTCGTATACCTAAAAAACCTTATAGAATAAGAATAGACGGGGAGGGAAACGGATAGATACTAGAGGGGGCGTATCCACCGATCTGTCCGTCAATTGTGTATTAATTTTGATTATTTATTTATACTGCTCAATAGGGACACATAAAAACTCTTATGACGATGCTGCACTAATATAGATTAAAGTAATGAGCTATCTAGAAATATCTTGAACAGAAAACTACGCACGTAGAAATTGTCGTACGCTAGAATGTATGCGAAGAATATAAATAAAAAAAATAATATTTACGTATAAATAAAAAAAATAATATTTACGTATGTATGTGTCGTGGAATCTTTCAACTTACATTTCTAAGTCCTTCACCTCGACCACCTTGCCGAAGGTACCTTCACCGAGCGTTTCGATGATTTTGTCTGTAAGAAACCAAGGCGCTATGATTAATAAATTGTACGCAAAACAAAGTCATGATGGAATCCACCATTGATTTCCAACTAGGCAACGCAATATAATTACGATGAGTTAAACAGAGTTTAATAATATAACTAACTTATCGTGCTTAATTTGTAGAAAACCAATGTTTCGTATATCCAACATGACTTATCTATATTTATCCAAAATAGAAGTTACGGCTGCCACTGTTATTTAGAATAGAAATAAAAAATCACAAGCAAAAATTTATGCAAATTTGAAATCTTCAAAAAATCACAGCTTGACTGTTGTTGGCAGTGACCAAAAATTGTCACTTTAAAGAGTTTCTGTCGTCGTTATTAAAAACGAACTTTCTTAGTGTATTTATGTGTGAGTCATATGTTGTGTGTATGTCAGTGTTGTGTAAGTATAGAGATGTATAAGTGGGTGAGTCGTGTAAAGTGATATAATGATGGAAATTCAAGTGTTAAAGGTATGGTGTGGACACGAACATCTCGCTCCCATGACATATCCGGGCCAGTACACCAGGTGTCCGTCCTTGTCGTCCTTGACGGAGGAGCGTGCCCGGGAGCTCTGCAGGGCCGCCGCCGTCACGCCGCCGCGCCGCCCGCCGCACACCAATGCGCCAACACGCCACCACGCCAACACGCCATCACGCCACACCAGCCATAGCGGAGAGCGCCACGCGTTCGCCACGACCCGAGTAGTGTTGTACCCAACAATCAGACAATGGAACGGTTGCCCGTCAGACAAGCGACAATTGGTATGGTGTGTCGTACATGCTGTTAAAGGGCGGACGGGTGGGCTCTGTGCGGCGGCTCACTTAATTAGCGCGCCGCTCGCAGGGATATAGCGGGTGGGACAGTCGGCACGGGAGGATTGCGTCGGGACGGGATATGGAATCTAAAGCATCACTCAACGTTCACTTTACATTCACTAAACACCTTGCACACATTGGTTCATAAGGGTAACAGTGTCCACCCGATCCTGTCTAAAACTATAAGCTATTTTATTTTATCTTACTAACATATTCACTGACAGGTTCAGGATTATCTTTTAGTTTATTATTCGAAAATATCTTAACGCAGAAAAAAGACATATTACTTTGGAAGGCACGCATTAAAAAATTCATCACATGCACTATCATCGCACAAGATTTATATTTCGTTATAAATTGTTTTCAACGTCGTATGTACAATCAACGCGGTTGATTAGTGTCGAATAACCCTACTAATTGTAAGATAGATGTTCTTACCGGCAACATTTTATTATTTTACTACCTTCAAATCTGGATATAAATATATTTTCTCTAGATTTCAATATGTTTATGCAAAATACATGCAATGCTTATGACGTCATCAATATTGACCTTACTAATTTATAAAGTAATTTGAAATAAAATTATAATATATTTATTATAAAGTCATGATAGTTAAATATATTTGTAATATTTTTTCTCTGAATATTAGGTTTTACGGACCAGGTAATTGTTAGCGGCACACAGAGATGCAAGCGGTCGGTTAGCTTGGTGCTTACAGGCGGCGTGGCCGCGCGTCGCATTAGGTGCCGCGGCCTCTGTATGCGGTGTCGACTGCGTAGCTCAGGGGGCAGGGCTACTACGTCGCCTACAGCAATGGGCTCCATTTTCCTAGTCACAAGGGCGTTTGAGACTCCGTTAGGCTCCTTCTCAGTTATTCGACCATAAACTTCATCTAAATGAGCATATTTCATAATTAGGCTCTGAATCTCTTTTCGCCGGGTCTCGCGTTCGCTAAGCACTCGGTCACCGACCGGAGTCTTATCGTCGTCTTCGTCACTGGATGGAAAATAAATCTGCCTTTGTCTACCGCTTTCATTAACAGGTGAAGATACCGGTGTTCTTGCTAAGGTAAGTTTAGCGTCTGAATTTTTTTGCATCACGGGTGAGATCAAGTCTCTGGCACCCGATTGTAAGCTTATATCGACAGGTCTTAATGATAGTTTTCCACTACGTTTATCGCTGCCACTTTTGTCAACTCTTAGTGATCTTCTGTGATGTTTTCTGTATATGCTATCTCTATCTTTTCCATATTGAGCTTGTTCTTTAGGAAAGACATCAAACCCATTTTTTAATTCATTTTTATCATGTTTATGACTAGATGATAAACGGCGATCTGCTGTGTTTCTAAAGGGGGTCTTATCTCTTGTTTTCTCACATGAATAATTATTTCTTTTAAAAGAATTTTCACCAAATACAGCGGTCGTAAAACTTCTCATTAAACCTCTAGAAAAAGATGGTTCAGGTTCTAATGTTTTGTCACGATCTTCTTTCTCTTTTCTAGCTTTTTCTTTTTTTTGTACTGCAATACGATCTAGAACTGATGAATATTTATCTTCTAGACGGCTACGTGTACTACCTAATATCATTGTGCTATCTAAATTGTTATTATTAGTTTCCTTTAGAGGATATCTCTTACTGAACGGCGACGATTTATTATCTTTCTTGTTAGCTCTGCGGAATGAGTCATTGCGTGTGAGAGCACTAATACTTGGGTTTGAATGTACAGGTGATTGTTCCATTCGACTTTTTGGCGCGTTCAGGTAACTCGAGTAGGCCCGTTCATCGCCGAACTTTTTCGCGGACGGTGTTATGCTAGACACAAAAGGCTTGAACGGTGATATGTTTCTATTGTTACCATAACGTCGAACATTTGTTATAGCCGAGTTTTTGCTAGAAAGAATTTTATCATCGTAACGCGTGCGTGCAGCAGTCAACTTAGGGTCAATTATGTGATCACTTTTTTCAGAAGGTCCTCTGCGTGTCAGCCGGTTTATGATACTGGAATATCCGTCTGACAAAAGCTGTGTAACGCTCGTAGTGGAAGACCGAGTGTACCTTTGTCGTGGGTGTGATGTTCCGCTTCCGCTGGTACTTATATTTGCCATGTTTTCAGTATTAAGAATTAAAAATTGTTCAAATTAAATTCAAATTGTACGTATCACATAGTAATTCTTGAAAACCATAATTTCACATGTCTATGTTTACTGTATAAATTATTCATTGTAAATTTTGTTTCAACTAAACGAACACAAGAAAATCCTGCTGCAAATCGAGAGCAGGTTTAGCACTGAGGGATTTCAGAAAGATTACTAGCGCAGCCGAGTGCGGCCGTCAGTGCCAAGTAATGGCCGCGGACTAAAAATATCAGCAACCCGTGGGAGCGCCCTCCCGCGCACTCTGAGGTGCCATCGCACGCGCATATTCGTCGCATTACACTTTTTCTAAACTCTTCCCTGAGGTCCGTTACAAATGATATGTGAAAATAAATTATTAAGCATATGCATCGTTTCTTTTACATTCATATTTTGAATGAAGTTATAATAAAATCCAGATATCATAAGTTTTTAAAATATTTCAATGTTCACAAAAAACAAAAATAACTTCATATGGTAACGAAATAAAATGTAGGTATGTAATTACATTTTCATGAGGTGTCTACAATTAATAAAGATTTTTCTTTGGCGATGGTTAGTTAGCTCGAGAGCCAAGACAGTTCTGTCAATAAGCGGTCACTAATTGGGTCAGTAGAGCACTTATGGAGCTGAACAATACCGTTTGTACACGTGCGCAATCCATGAGCAATAGTTAGGTGAACACGAGCATGTAACACAAGTTCTACTCATCACGAGTCAGAGGGTCAATCTTTATCGTCTTTTTACATGTAATCAATACTTAATATCAAGACGAGTATGTCTTTATCTTACAATTTTAATCGAGTGCAAGCTTGTGTGAAATCGGATGCAACTTTGAAGACATGCGATGCGTGTCGGATACGTGACACGAATACTTCTCGTGCCGCCTCAGGGTAAGTTAATAGTAAACAAATATGTTAGATATTTTTACATCATTAACGTTAGAATGGCAATTCGTTTTTTTTCAGTAATTTAATAAATAAGTAAATGTAGTTATGATACCATTAAACATGCCGGAATATAAGCGTCCGTTAAACAGTTTCATTGAACGGAAGCATATCATACATTCTGGACATGTTATTATCGAGCGCCGATTGTGAAGCGGTTGCATGTTACTTTCTCTAGTAAGCATTTTTGCTATGGGTTCCAATATTTTTTATAAATACCAAGCTAATAATGTATCGAATATAAAAAGAAATATCTAAGAAATATCCATGGGCAAACGGCTTAAGGTAGGCATTCGTTGGATTGTTGTATTTAGAAACAATGCATGTATTTTGCACAAATCTTTTTAAAACCTAAGTTTTCATACCTCGCTAGATGATTTAATATCTTCAAAAAGGAAAAGGATCACACACTTATATATGATTGTGACCAATATATTAAGAATTATTTTTAAGTAGAATTTGCACGTTTTATGTAAAAAACACGTAAAAGTTATAACAAACAGAAGCACTGATGCCATAGACTTATCGGCACTTGTAATAAAATATCACCAACTATAAATACTATATATTATGTATATATGTTTATGATTTTATTAAGAAAACACTGTATTTTTTTAAATTATAATTTGATCAGAGATTCTGTATCGTCGTGCCAGCTGTTTACCACTGACGATCGACAATATAAAGGGGTGCAGGTAAAAACATCTCGTTTGGTTGGTCCCCCACCGTAAATATAATGAGACTTGAAGTAATATTATTATACCTTTAAGACAGATATCAATGACCCGTTTCAACTTTTAAGTTAATTTTTAACATCATAATTTTTGTTGGTTTATATCGTTATCTTGTTTCTATTAATTAATTACATATTATCAAACGTTAATCCAGCAACAAAACAATATGACACTAACCTTGCCGGCAATTTTGCTGCACGCATAGTCAACATCGAAAAGGATCTCCGCAAGTACAGAGAGCAGTTTTACGATATCGTGCCACTTGCACCCGTGATCCTTAAGGAACCGCTTGTAAAGCTCATAGAAGGACGCAAGTCGGAGCGGTAAACGAATACGATCATGTTTCACTGCAATTTCTATCATTTTATACACTATTTCGTCACTATTGCACTGAACGCGTGGTAACCGATCGCAAGGGGCGAGCGGGTAGTTGCCCGGCTGAATCACAACTGTGCCGCGAAACTAAACTAATAACGAGTGAATGCGCCTCGTTTACTTCACTTGAATGGATGTTGTTGTGTGAAAAATATATTGCAATTTAATTTTATGTTAATTTACATAGCACATATTTTATGAATGAAATGACAAGTTCGCATCTATCGACGTCTAAACGTAAACTGAGTGGTCGTCGCATACCAATTAAAAGATACTAAGAGTTAATGGACAGACAATTTGTGGAAGCTTTCGGTTGAAACAGGATAAAACCGCGTGTAAAAAGACCCTTACATCTTAAACAGTAAAAACAATCAACATTTTTCTTAAAACATCTCAGCGTCATCTGATTTTAATAAAATATATATTAAGTTATACCAATGAGTAATTTAGTAAAGGGACAAACCACTAACTAATTTTAATGATTCATATTATACATAAATAAGCAAAAAATTTAAAAGAATACAGCTATAATTAGAATATGAAATATTTTTAAAGATATTGTTATCAGCACTGAGACAGAGGAGAGACACAATTGTGTAATAGTTCAATCATATGACCCTACAAGACAACGTAGTGATGACATCCGTCTTACAGAGAGCGACCTACGTGATCACTGTCAAACACTTACTATCATTGTTAGTGAACTAAATGTTAGCGACCGTCTAACGATAAGCCATGAGTAGGTATACTTTTGTATTTTTAATTTTTTTACCTAACGCTATGTGATACATGATGATAAACAGGTCGCTTATTTTCCCAATTAAACAAAGCTTTCATGAAATAAAAATTATAAAGTTATCGAATACTGATAGCACATTTCTCCGTAGTTATCAACCTAACAATACATGGTAAGTGGGAACGCTCTAAATAAAACATTTTTTACAAGTAAGAATATGTAAAAAGTTTCTATCTCAAACTGGCAAAGTGATACTAAAACAAATCTATCTTTTTGGATTTCATTCTGATTTTTCGTTTCCGACCTTTTTAATGTGTTTTGAAAAACTGGATGATCAAATCGTCGGGACCAATAAGTCAAAATAAAACCGCGATAAAATACGAAAAAAGCATGTATATAAAATCTCAGGAAATTATACTCTATTTAAAAATTCTAGTGGTAAGGGTTGCGACTTGAACCAAACAAAAAAAGGTTGATGTAACACCGCGGTTAATAAATCAACAAGATCCACCGGAACGAAAAGCTCATATTTAAATAGATGGATATGGACACGATCTCATTATATAAACCTTGCAGCGACCCGTACTGATGCGATAACTCTTTATGAACTTGACCAATGCTTATTAATGCTTATTTTTACGAAAATATTACTGTAATCGGTAACATTAATGGTGACTGTATTAAAATAGAAATATGATAATAAGAAATTCTGCGATATATGTAATAACATAAAGCTCTAACATAGCTCTTAAGCATAACTAAAACGTCTCAGTCAGTGATAAAACCTAGCATCTGTAAAAAGTTAAAAAGTATATTTTACACGATGCAATAATATGAATAGCGCGCCAAAATACCAGAAAATTGTAAAGGTTAATAGTGTTTTAAAATTATTGGGTTTCAACATTCCAATACTTCTTGTTCGTAAATATATATTTAGTTAAACGTCATCGGCTTTGTTTTTTACTAACCGACTTCCAATTCCAAAAAGGAGGAGGTTCTCAATTCGTCAGAATCTTTTTTTTTATGTATGTTTACCGATTACTCGAAGACGCCTGAACCGATTTGGATTTTTTTTTGTTTCAAAGGGTATACTTCCCAGGTAGTCCCATATAAATTTTATCGAAATCGGTCGAGCGGTTTTTAAAAAAATCAACAATTAAAAACTTTCTTCTTACAAATTACCTGCTTATTACGTCTACACTAAAAATAGAAAAATAAAAACTTTTTAACAAAAGATAAAAACAGACTTCCAGGCACTAAAATGTACAAAATAACTAAACGGTGGTTTTCATTTAGAATAGATACCCAATCAGATATTTTCGAAGTCGGTGCCAGCCTACAATATTTTAAGATATGAATATCTAATAGGTAAATATGTATTTTACGTATCGAAATATATTAGATTTGCTTTGCATCGGCTGGCACCGACTTCGAAAATATCTTATTAGGTATCTATTCTAAACGAAAACCTCCGTTTAGTTATTTTGTACATTTTAGTGCCTGGAAGTCGGTTTTTATTTTTTGTTAAAAAGTTTTTATATAACAAATCTAATAAGCAATCAAGCACACTATTATTATATTTGACCCATTTTTGTTTTTTAATTTATACTAAGCCCGCGTTCAATCTTCAAAATAAAAACTTTTTGGCGTTATGTTATACAGCGACTCACTATGTGTTTATATAATGTCCATACAAAAATCGCGATTAACAAATGGTGGGTGGGAGTAGGAGGGTGAAAAATACTTTACGACCTATTCTCATACCTACCAAATATCAAAAAAAACCACTTAAGTCGGTCGAACCGTTACGGAGGAGTGCGACGACAAACAACGTGACACGAGATTTTTATATATTAGATTGAGATTTATAATTTGAGAGAAACATAATATGTATATAGTATATACATATATTGCAGGCCGAGTTCGGCGTAAAAGAATCATGTTTCTGAATCATCGATGTCTGGCTTAAACTAGCTGTAACAAGTTTTAATTAAAGGATTTTGTAGAACAATACAAAACAATTGAAGAGTGTACGCGGGCAGTTTCATTAGACTCGATAAGGCAGTATAAAGTAGTAATAAAAAATATGGAAAAATTTAAACTGGAATTAAGTTTGGCTGTTTTGGTTTGACATACTATTTTGGAGCCATTAAAGTATTACGTAAACCACCAAAGAGAGGGTCTTTACTTTGCTTATTTTTGATGACATTTAGGTGTTCTGGATGGTGATTACGTCAGCAATATTTATTTATTAAAATACACGGCAATCCTACTCGTCTATGTTCAAAAGCGAAGAGCATATTCATGGATTCCCCAAAATAATTGAGATGTGATGTTTACATAAGCATACCAAGTGGCAGTAAAAGCTTTGCTTAATGCTTACTTTTGTTGACAAGGGTTAATAATTACTAAAATTCTTCTTTAACGTAATACTTGAATGGCCCCTTTAATAGGAATCGCTTTGGTAAACAGATTTGTAAACCTATGTTTGATGAAAATATAATTGATTTTTTGATATAATACGATTGTTATCTACTTGGCGTATTTCAAATGAGATTATATATAAGAAAGTCCCATGGACGCTGTTGCGGAAATCCTTTATCGAGTGGGCGGCGCGTGCGGCGGACAATTATTATCAAAACAGTGATTCGCGCCTAGGTGAAGGTGATCGCTGCTATTTCTGTGCGCATGCGCTGCTTGTATTCGCTTAGATTACTAATGCCATCTAGTGATCGCTATTGGATTTGTATAGTTAATGCCAGCTGCTGTGCTATTTTTATCGGTCATTCGCGTATGATATTGTTTATTGTAGATGGATTAATAAAATCGTGTTTTATCTAAACAAAGTTAAAATACACAGACTTAAATATTTAATTAATAAAATATTCAATAATTTGCAAAATAAAAAATTATTTCATAATCAGTACGTCATTAGTAAAGGAAATATGTAAGCAATAGTAGTCTATTTTAACGATAACGAGTTTTAACCATATTAAAAAGTTTACATACAAATTATTTAGTTTTGTTTGTACGCTGAATCCGTGACCTAATAATACATCTACGCAATGTTCTCAATATAACATAGTATACACACTAAAAATTGCGATCTGCATTATATTTTAAATTATTATTCCTAATTTTCTTTAACTAAAAATAATAAATGATTTCAATATTAAAATGGTATAATATGTATTGTACACGTATAAAATTAATTGGCTGACCTCTACTTCTTTTGGGAGCTTATCAGGCTTTAGCTGCGAGGGCTGTGCAGGTACGGGTGGTATATAAGAACACGAAGGCTGAGGTTCCATTGCTGGCTTATTTGCAACGACAGAATTATTCGTCGAGGTCATGGTATTTTTATCTTGTTTCTTCGTGTCTCCTTCCACGTTATGGATAAGGATTTGAGGTACATCCTGCGCTGCATTGGCTTTGCGATTGTCGGTGAAGGTTTTAGCTAACCAAGCTGGTGGAACTGCTGGTGGTTGTGGATGCTGTTTAACAGTTTTAGGTAAATTCGTCGTATCTACATTATTCACAGGGGTAGGCTGGGTAGTTTTTGAAGCTTTTACTGCACTTTGTTTTAAGTTTTCACTTTTACTAGAAACATCACTCGCGACAAATGTTTTAATGTTTTGGGTGGTATTATCGTTAACACTTTTACTATCTGGTAAATTATGTGGCACTGGAGGAAGTTTAACAGGTATTTGATCGTGAATTGGAATGGAAGGTAACTGACTGAGAGGTAGATTCGTCGATGGATTAAGCGACTCTAAACATGGTCCATTGCATTCACCTTTATTTACAAATTTCACTGGTTGAACTTCATCTAACTTATCCCCACTAATTGGTGACGGCTCATCTCTACTTTGTGAGAAATCGGTGCTGTCACAACAAGACAATTCATCTAAACTTTGAGCCAAATCAAGAGCAGATGCTTCGTGATAGTCAGTTGAACATGGAGAAGTGTCATCACTAGTGTCATCAATACCACAAGGCTGTTGTGAACTTTTACTGCTTGGCATGAAGGCTAAACTAGATGTTACATCATTAGAAATATCCGCAATTAAAGATTCTTCACTACGTGACGATTCTCTATTATTGATGGATTCTGAAGTATTCTTTTTTTCATTAATTAAAGGATTACTTGTATTTTCTACTGCAAAAGACGATTTATTTTCTTGTATATCATTTTCGATACATTCTAATTTAGATTTATTGTCTACATTTTGCTCCTGTTTAGTTTCCATTTCTATTTTGTTATCTTCAACAATACAAGGCTCACGTATTGTCACTTGATCAATCATAGGAAGACTCATATATTGGGGCATTGCATACTCTAAATCACTCAAGCGCATATACTGAACGCCCTCTTGTGTCGGAATTTCGAACTGCGGTGTATAGTACTCAAATGCTGTATTAATATTTCCGTACGTTGACCACGGGTCATTAGGTGGTATGAGAGGAAGACCATCGTAATGTAAACCAGGATTATTATTTTGGTTTGTAACGTATTCTGATTTATAGTCCCATGTTGGGACAAAAGAATCTTCAAATGCCATATAACTTTCAGGTAACATGACCACATTATCATTATAATCATTAGATGTTAAAGCATAAGAACCATCATAAAAAGGATTATTTAAAACAAGAGGTGGAGGTTGTAAAGGCTGCACAGATATTTCAGCTTCAACAAATAGTCCATACTTTGATAAATCCGGTTCAGATATCCGATGTCTAAATACATGATCGTTTAATTCATAGTTATTGTTTGTCTCATAAATATCTGCAATATCAAAACTTCGCGCCCGCCGTAAAAAAATATCTGTATCACATAGCTGTTCTTGAACAGGATTTTTCTCGAAAACATGTTTCTCTGCTTCATCACAACACAGGTCATCATATGTAGGCACACCCACGTTGTTTATTTCACCTAAGTCATCTGCATGGTTGCTTTGGTCAAGGACAACATCATATGAAGTGTCTGGGGTAGTATAATTTAATGCAGCGATACTCGGCACAAGTACCACACGCGGTAAAATAGGTGGGGGGCCGCTAAAGAGTAAATTGTTGGGAGGTGGACGCGGCGGTTGGGCAGCCATGGCGCGCACTGGCCGCCCGCGGCGTGGACGGTTAGATATTCGGTGCAAATACGCGTTGGGCGGCCGGCTGAGCTTTGCGACTGACTGAAGGCGTACCGAGTGACGAAGGCGAACACAAATAGAACGGGCGCAAGTGCGAAGAGGTCGCCGTCTCTCGCGCGCGTCTTCACGGACGAAGGCGCATGCGCAAGCGCAATCGCATGCCAAACCAGTCCCGCATGTTAGCTACAGGAACTGTGACTTTTACGTTATGTTTTCGTTCCAGACTTCACTTTAAAATAATTTGTATTATTAGAATAGAATTTTAGGCAAATCGGGTGAACACTTTTAACATCGGGCCAATGTTGGAGCGCTGGGTTTAAAATCACATACTTCTTTCATACATCAACATAAATAAATCAACTAGAAACGGTGAGACTAACCTGTTCAGGAGGTGAACGCGGTGATGACTCGTCGCGATGATGTCTCCTCCGGCGATGTGAGGTAGGCGAACGCCGATGATGAGATCGTTTAGAACGGTCATTCCGCCGCCTCCACGAGTGCTCCGAGCTGTGAAATCAGCGATCGCTAGGCTGTAGGGTTAGTGAACGGGAACAGCGGCAAAAGATGTTCGGTATGCAAAGAAATGTTAAGGTGAGGTTTGAGTGTCAAGGAGCAGTTATTACTAACGTAGGAGATCGTTCCTCGTAAGCTGAATGTGGATCAATAAGTTGGTTGAGGCTGTCAGGTGGTGGCAAACAACAAGCACGCAGCAGCGCCCTGACCACGGCCCAACGTTGTCGCCCCGTCCCTATACCTTCAATTTATCCATTTGAAAGAAACACTAACAAAGATAGTTAAAATTAATATTAAAGTCGACATAGCATTTTAAAATATATGATACGAAATCTTTTCATATAAGTTTTCAAAACCGAACGTTTACAAAGTTATAGTTTTGTGTAACGGAAAATACGCAGAAGAGTTTAATAGCGGTGCTGGCAAGGACGGTAACAGCTGATTTTGTTATGTCATCGCGGGGACGACCCGACGCGTACTACGTTCGCGGACGGACTGCCGGTAGACGCCGCTCGCGCACCATAAACGAGTTAAAATAACGTTATACAATCAATACACTTTTTGTAGTTTAATTGTATGAAGAATCAAAAGAAATACGTCACACGGATGTTTTGATAAAGTTAATAGGCGACTTCAAATAACAATGAATGAATATTTCAAAATACAACATTAATATTTACCATATAATTAAATCGAAATTACATACGAATTCACTCTTTTTAAACCCGCTAACCGAAAATCACGCAATCTTATAACAAGGTTGTCTAACTCACAATCGATTTCAATCATAATTTTTCGTTCTGGGTAAGTATTTTCTATGTCATCGTGTCCTAGTGTAAGTTTGTACTCATGTATGCTTGAAGACCACTGATTCTGAGGCATAGTAAATGACTAAAGGAACACATAACCAACGGTATGTACATAAGTCTTAATAGAATTACTATGTAATTGGTTTACGTAGGCCGACAACGATATAAATACAACATGTTTAAAAAGGCATGTGTGCAAATATATAACGATTTCTATTTAGCAATAAATAAAGAAGTAAATAGTTTTTCACAATAATTCAACACAAATAAATATATAATCTTTTTGACAACAACAAGGTTCGCTTGTTACAACTACCGTTTCGTCAAATAAATGCCTTCGGAGAAATACTAGCAAGTATGTTTTTAAGAAAAAAATAGCAGTAGCACCTGCAAGCATATAATATTCGTGTTGGCAGATGGCCTCAGCTGCCGTATGTGCGCGCGAGGGCACGCGAACGCGACTGGGTCCATTAGTAACTGTTAAATTCATAACTTCTATCTGGCGACAAGTTGAACTTGAACATAATAATTCAACATTGGCAGGCAAGTGGTGACGCATTCGTGCACTAATCATTTTCTACATTATAGACATGATTACCACTCGCTGCGGTGAGGGAAAACATAATGAGGAAACCTGCATACCTGCATATGTGAAGTTAACCAATCCCCGTTAAGCCTGCCTGGTAGACTATGGCCTGATCCCACTCGCATTTATGGAAAACAAGTGCCCAGGAGTGGGACGATAATCTATACATATAATAAAATTGTAACTAAGCCGAATCTGTACATTAAATATTTTTTGGAAAATCTTTTTTAAATAGACATTACTATTCGACACAGAGGCCGAATCTAGTTTTTAGAATTTTTGTCTATCTGTTACTGCATCACGGAAAAACCACTGGAGGGATTATGATGAAATTTGGTATGATGATAGCTGGTTATTCGGGTCAACATATAGGATACTATTTACTGCGGGAAAAATCTCATTTCAGAGAAATCTATACTAAACGTTAAAACGTAAGTAGGGACGAATCCAAGCGTAGCGACGGTGAGTCGCTAGTAAGGGATAAATACAAAATGTAATGTAAATAAGTATATGTAATAAACTCAACGTACTAAGATTATTTATGACTTTGTCTTCTATACATAATTAAAATTGTAACTAAGCCGAATCTCTACATTAAATATTTTTTGGAAAATCTATTTGGAATAGACATTATTATCAATACAGAGTCCGAATCTATAGTTTTTTTGAATTTTTGTCTTTTGACAGATATTAATGAAATTTGGTATGATGATAGCTGGTTATCCGGGTCAACATATAGGATACTTTTTACCGCGGTAAAATATCTCATTTCTGAGATTTTTTTTACAAAAACTGCATTGTAAGAGTATACTAATATGTAAAACCTAAGAATTTGGTTTATGGTCATCTAAACGTGGGCGGAGCCGCGGGCAATGCTAGTCAGTTATATTGCAAAACCGCAATTCTCAATTTAATTAGTTAGAACTATTTATAGACTGTATTAGTATTTTATGATTGATCACAAAACCAACAAACAGGCAAAGAATTACAATACCGTTATAATTTCGCAATAGGGAAATCGTCGGGTATTTACTATTTAACTATACGGAGTTATGTATTTTTTGGTTAATAAATGATGTGTTGAAATTTAATATAATACTAACTATTTATTTCTTATTACCTACTTACGGAACCATTTTGTATATCAATGTACGAAACACGTCGTTTATGTTTACATACATAAAAAAATAATAATTACGTATTATTACGACACGGCTTGTTGGTAAAAAAAACCTGTTTTAAATCATTTTATCTTAATCTATTATAATTTGCGACCTAAAAACTAGCTAAATTATTAAAAGGCGCAACATAGAAGTCACATTACTTAGAACGCAAAGAAGACTTGAAGGTGTCAATGTTTAACAAAGACAAGCGCGTCACACAATTCAACGAGAATAACAAACACCGGAACATTCACTTTCGATGGACATCAACGATATTATAATTCAAATGGTGGTTAGTTGAATTATTTGTTCAAACATTATGTCTAGAATATCTTATACTTGACGTACAATTTCTAAAAAGTGAATAAACTACCTGGAAAGTTGGTACATATAGACTTTTTACTTCAAGTATGAGCCTTTAACCGGTCTAGTAAAGCTTTATTTATTATTTAAACTTTTTAAAATTTAATAAGTGAAAAGTGAAAACATACGGGATTTATGGAGATAAGTTAGTGTGGTTTTTTAAATTTATATTAAATTTATGCGTATACGTGATCTAAACATTTTTTTAACCCAATTAAGGTCAAAATTATTTTATTTAGATAGTAGAAAGTTTACTTTTAAAATTTTGCATTTTCTGGTCATTGCACAATCACAAATTATATCACTACATGGTATAAAACAAAGTCGCTTCCCGCTGTCTGTCTGTCCCTATGTATGCTTAGATCTTTAAAACTACGCAATGGATTTTGATGAGGTTTTTTTAATAGTTATTTAAGAGGAAGGTTTTAGTATATAATTTGTTAAGTTTTTGTATACCTTGGCTAAAATATAACGATATTTGTTGGAGGTGTCGGAAAAAAATATGCCGTCTGGGTGCTTTCAACGAAAACGCTGCCTAAACCCTTTTGAGATATAACAAAATATTGTATGGTGGAATTGTGTATCTTATATAGGTCTACAAAAAAGTCCGAGATGGCATATGTCTATCTCTTAAGGATAACATACTATATCCATTTTAATTTAAAACGTACCTAGGGACGAACCCGAGTGAAGCGAGGGTGAGTCGCTAGTAGGGCTACAAATGTAAACACAAAAATTTAAAGAGATAAACGGGAGAATAATAGCGCTGATTCTATCGCCATTCAAGAGAATGCGCGATCATTATGTTTGTGAACATGAGGCAAACTAGATATAAAAATATCTGTCAAAACCTAAATTACAATGTGGTCAACGTTCAAGCAAATAAGGTATTCGTACAACGGTTCTTTATTTAGATACTCCGAACACGTGTATTGGATTGAATCATCTTGCTTCTATTTACAGTGGCGCTGATATTTCCTGATGTTGTAACATTTTGCACGTTGTTTTAGTGGTCGTGTCACAGGAAATAGTAATTTTACAAAAAAATCTTAAGTATGTGATATTGAGAGAAATAATGAAAATTAATGTTAAATTTCATAACTTCCAGAGGTCAGCTAGGTCCAGTATATTGCGATGAGAATGAACCGTTTTTGGCACAATGACCATAATCGATCGAAGTCGGTGCAGTGCGGGTTCTTACGAAATCGAAAGCCACGGTCTTCAATGCGAAACGAACTGGTCAAGGATTCTTAGCGTAAAGAATAATTCCAATGTTGTTTAATTATTTTCAATAAGTAATAAGGGCACTTAAATTAACATCAATAAACTCCTGATATATTTTGTCATGTGGATGTTTGTAGACTAAAATAATAAATGATGACTACGCACGAGCAGTCCAATGCAAATTACTGTTCGATCTATTAGCATTAATTTAATGTGCTCTCTACCATAATTTATTGTGAATTAATATATGCTATAATTTCATAATTGATTTTATAAAGCTATTTAGGAATGCTTATGTTCAGGCAACTTGTCGAGTGGCAGGTAACTGGGCAAGGCCATGCCGGATGAGCGATTACTATGAACCGTGTCAACACTGCAGCCGCAACTAATCGCTGCCCGCGCTCTCAGGTCAATGACAAGCGAAGCTTTCTCGCTACCTCGAAAGAATCACTTACATTATAAATTATTATACATAAATATTTTATCAAAATTATTATTTAAAAAGGAAGAGAAACACTTTCCGAATGTCTTATAATAAACATATTGAAAATATTACCTCAAACAAGAGAAGAAAATTGAGCGTCTCACGATCACAATATTTTCGCGACGTCCAGTTAAAACTGAGAGACGTTTAATGTGGTTAGATGGATAAAGTTTGCTACTGTTACATCAGCAAAACAGATCTGGCATGGCAGGCAATATGGCGCACGCGTAGCAGCAGCGTGCAGGGGGGTTGCGGGACGCGGGACCAGTCTGCAGTGAAAGTTGATCAGACTGCGTAACTTCGGACAACTTCTGACATTTGTCGGATGTACGTGAAGTGACCGTTAATGCTACCGTTGTTATTGACGAAAGTTTGCAAAAATCGCGAAAGAAGCGTAGATAATGTATGACCGAACACAACATAACAGGTTATCATTTTTGTTTGGAGAAAGTTATTAGTTCGCTAAATATGATAAAAATACTGATAAGATGTTTAATATGAAAATAACATAATCAGTATTATTTTTACACAAAAATTACTTAATGTATAGAAAGAATTGAAAAAAAAACAATTTACGTGATTGAGTTACTAAGAAAAAAAAGTGATTTAACAACGTCGGGAACAATCCGTCCATCGTGTTGGTCCGGACGTTGTCGAAACTATAAGAGCTGAAATATTGAGAACCTAATCCTATAATGACGTAGGAAGTTTTTTTAGAAATTTAAACCGCGAAGGAGTGTACAGCAGGTGAAAAATGGTGGATATATTATATAACATTTTATTTATTCAATACATATCTAAAGTCAGCAGATAATAATGCAAAGTTGTAAAATCACTTTCTCCGCTATCGTTGACATGTTTTTCGTATAATGTTGTGTCACCTTAATATTGGTGTAATGAATAAATTATTAATATAAGTGTAAAAATTTCAAAAGAACATAGGACTAGCTAAAACTTATTTTGCTTGACAATAACTCTTGATGCTGAGAGATAATGCACAAAAATAAATTACGTCATAATGCTAACCAGGTTGACAATTCCTTTGCGAGCGTACAAACCAGGACGAGACCTTGAAACATTCACTAAAATGCTATCGAGACGAATCTTGTAAGTTATATAGCTAAGAGAGCGCCCACGGATATATGAATGCTTATTAGGATTCCAAACTTTTCGTAATTTATAAGACAGCCAATTTATAAATGTTATAAAAAAATAATTATGCAGAAGGAAACATTCTACTTTAGTAAGTTTAATAATAAGCAATCAAGGGGAACGACTAAGGCCCATTTTTAAACTTTGAACATTTATTTTCGAAGTCTATTGTGAATAAGTAGTTATTTTTACAGTTCCATTAGCAGCAAATATTCAGCTGCTAGTAAAACTGCAGATAAAGTAACAATTAAAGAATTTTAAAAGGAATACAATCCCCGAGGGCCCGAATCAGATACTGAATATGGCAACTTGTGTAATGGTTTTACACGAACTTAATTCTCAACTGTTGCTGTCATACTACATAATGTCTCACGATAATAGAGATTAAGACAAAAAAGTTATTTGTTTGAAAACCACAAGTCAAGGGCATAATAATTAATTTATTTTTTTATATTTAATACTATAACCGTACAGTAATATGTAAATACAAATGATAAGTAGAATGGCAGAAAATAGATAATTTTTAATAGAATTAGGTCGTGTAAAGTTATATAGATTTTCGTCAATATTTTCAACTAATGAATTTTTCAAAGTGTTGTAGATTAAATTACACATAAGATTTGAATTTCTATTACAAAATAAATATTATTGAGAAGTTTAGCATAGATAGGGTGATTAGGTTGTGTTGGTTTGCGAAACCTGACTGTAAATGCACTTATATTGCAGTCTAAACCAGTAGCGAAGTCGATGCACTCGAACTCCCGGCAATGAGCTCGGCAGGTTTCGCTTATTTTTTTCTATTTACGTATCGGTGAAGCTTAACTTCAATGGTATATAAACTTGTTCTCATATAAATATTAAGCTCCTTAACACACTCGAAAGCATTTAAATGTATCAAAGGTGTGGGATATGTTATTGTTAGTATTATATAAAAAATAGATTATTTTATTATGTTATTTTTAGTACATACGATACGCTCCACTCGTGTTCGCGCATACTCTTCTTGAAAGCGGCAGACTTAGGCGTCCAAAAGTCGACCCCAAGGTATAATGCAGGTAATTCCGCAACCTTCACTTCAAGTCTTTCTGCCAGCCTTTGATCTACGATAGATTTTGGACCGCTGGTTAGCGGTCGCTGTGGCTCTTTACCACTTCGTTGCTCGGCGTCACTGTAACCGTTCAGTTTCTCTCCGCTGCAAGACGTCACGCTTTTTGGACTATCTGTGCTGAGCAATTTACTTTTAACGGTGTCAGCTTTACCGTAACTTTTAAATTGCACTGATTCAGTTCCATTCGCGATTCGCGAATACTTCAAAGAATCATATGTTTCACCGTTTAGGCTACTGTATTCGATATTATTTAAGTTAATATCCCTATCGACACGTTTTGATACATCATGGCCGTTTCGTTTGTTAAAACGTTCATCCAAATTTTGTCTTAGAAAACTATTTTCGAAACTAGTTTTAGATTTAGGAACATTATTAAGGTAATCGTTATAGCTTATATCGTTGTGTAAACCTTTATCACAGTTCTTTTTGAGAGATTCTTGTATATTAATGCTGTTTACACTGCTATAGTTTCCGTTGAGTCTCCCGTAGGTAAAACTGGCGGGTTGACTGTTATCCATTTTTTCCAATTTTTGTGCACGCTCTGCATCTTTGCTTTCAAATTCATGCCTAACAAGTGCAACACGAGAAATTTCGTCGCTTTTAACATTAGATTTGAATTGTGTTTTAGATTCAAAGTCAGCAGCTGTTATTCCCGCCCTGCTTTGTTCGTTTGGAACTGACCATGTGTCATGCTTTTTTCTCTCACTGCTTTTGGATGACCACGCTTTCGCTAGCGCGGCCTTAAGTGCCTCTCGTCTCTCATGCACGCTAACTCTAGGGTATTCGTGTATAGGAACGATGGCTGGTGCGTACAATGTCGAACGTGGTGTGGCTCGAGTTATGCGGAAACTTCTGAACTCCCTGTTGAACTCCGAATTTAGAGAATAAGCCGGTATTCTCGAAGTCACCATTTTGAGATCAAAAATTCCACTTGTTATAATAAATTATTTCGTTAACAGTATAAGTTATTTAAGCAACGAGATCACTGAACACATATCGGCTCAACCTGTAAACAAGTCAAAATGAAATTGTGTTGAACAACGAAATGATGTATAAACGTAACGGTATCGCAAGGGAAGCGTGACTGTTTCTGGGTGGTTTGTTTTGCTTGCTGTTCTAGTACCGTGTTAGGCTGTGTCGGGTGTGGGCCGCGACCTTCGCAGTGGGCGTCAGCGTGGCGGTACAACGCACTGGTCATCGAACCGCCCAGAGTGCCGTCCGCTCCCACTTGCAAAAGCTTGCATAATGCACTCATAAACTGTAGTCGCAGGAGACACGTCTTATGCAGTCATGTTGTCGATAACGTTAACAATGCATAATTGAATGCGGCTGACGAAAGTGCAAGTATAACGTATAAATATTTATCAACGTACCCCGCTAATCTATTAATCAGTAAAAATATTAAATGTAGATAGATATTGATAAGACTTCATTCGTGTGTTAATTTGTAATGTGGAGCATTTATACCGTATAAGTGCAACAAGTGTCGCCTTGGTGGCGTCCCTAATATGGTTAGTGGCGGGGCTGCCATATGGCCCACAGCCGATACATCCTCGCATGTCCCGCTTCATTTATAAAGTTCTGACTGCATATTAATAAACAATATTATTCAAGTTAATTAATTTTCACTTCCTCTATTTTTGTTAAAATTTAATATTAAAAAGCCAATTATATTTCATTGTTTAAATCGAAATAAAATAAGCACGTCAGTCACGTAGTATCATCAAAACGTAGTAAATTTGTATTTATATGTAAGTAAACAAATAATACTGCTTGGTTGTATCACGTCTATTGGGTTTTGATAACAGCACAATATTATCTTATTCGTAAATAATAATTATTGCAACAAATGTTAAATTTAGTAAGTGATTAGGGATTTCAGTGTTCAACACATTTCATTTTGGATTGAGTACACTTCACTAAAATGACCACTGAGCAAAACACACATTCGATGGCTGCAACCAGAGCACATATCCCGGGCGTGTAATTAAACATTTAATTACAGATTTAAATCGAGAGTATAACGCGACGTGTTTAAGTTGAAGGAGAGCAGCCACCGGAAGCGAGTGCATATGTCGAGTGACAGTCGTGTCTCGATCCGTGCATACCTTCTCGTTGCGCGCGCGAGAACTGCGTGCGGTGTGCGTGCACCGCTGCGACTGAACTGACTCAAGGGAGGTAACGCACGCTCGCTCGCGAGGACCCCACCACCTCTCTTTTGCGGTTCGCCACTTGTGACTTTAACACGGAGCACTACGGCCGGAATCGCAGGAGCACTGACCTTCACTAGCACGCCGCGGTAAGCCAGTTCAAGTGCCGCCTGCAACCTATGCTCTACTCGCACAACCAACGCACCCTACTAACACTACATCAGCTATTCAACGGCTTATTATACGACAATTATTTTTATTATTAATTTAAACTAAATATTTTTATTAACAGAAAATTGAAAAGATTTCATACAGTTATAGCAAGTTTTAAAAGATTTGAAAATATATAATATCATTATTGAAATGAACCGTCCTAATGTAATCGATATTTTATATTGTATAAAGTAGAAGGAATGGGACAGAGACGCACAACTTGATCTAGCGAAACCTAATATTTATTATATTGTTATTTTTGCCAAGATTAACATAAAACCTCACCGAAAACATTTCTCTGTTAATTATGTGTGTAAAGTGTCTTAAATTTTACCTGAAACAAAGAAAAACAATATTATTAGTCTTTGTAAAAAATGCTAAAGGAGTAAGGACTGAAAAAGAAATCATTTAATTACTATGCGAGTCGGGCATAGAAGGTCGACTCTGTTTCGAAACGTAACTGCATATGTTAATACATATAATATTATGCATTTGTGCCACTGGAAAAAATAACTAAGTTCACAAACCTTTACAGTAAGTGTGCGAGCAACAATAAATATATTTTTTGTCATAACTTTTAGCCATTGCAATAGTAAAAAATTAGAGCTACTTTTTAACATAGTGGGATACGTCAAGGTGTTCTTTCTTTATAAAAATAAAATAATAAATTCGCTTCTCTTAGCATTTATCCACCACCGATCATAAAACTTTCATCAAAATCGGTTTCATACAGCAAGAGATGAAATTATTTCACACGTAAAACAAAACGTATGTAATTATAGTTATACTGACAATAGGTATTTAGAAATCAGATTTTAAGTCTCCAGAACTACTCCATAATCAAAAAATAATTATTATTTTTAAGAAAGTACATACTTTAAAGGAAAAATATATACTTTCCTATTATATCTATATTAATATTATAAATGTGAAAGTTTAGATGTTTGGATGGATGTTTGTTACTCAATTTCGCCAGAACGGCTGAACGGATCTGGTCATACAGATCCGTTCTGGCACAGAGATAGATTATAGTTTAGAAAAGCACATAGGTTATTTTTTATCCTGGAAATATGTACGGTTCCCGTGGGATGGAATGGTTTCGTTTTCATACAAGTGCATCATATATATATATATATAATAGTTCATTTGATATCTTTGGATTCAACGACATATTATATAGGTAATAGAATTACGCGTCCCGTGAAGTTGAATTAGAATTCTTCTGTTTTTAATCTTATTTTTTTACTTGAATGTTTACAAATTGTAATTAGTATTAAATTATTTGAAAAATATCACCATTTTATTTTAAAACTGATCAACTGAAAAAGATGATTATCCAAAACTTACCTATAAATATTGCGCTCATTACCCTATCAAAATACCTTTATTACACTTTTCCCCTTAATATTATGACTAAGCCCATCAATAATGGTAAGTGCAAAGTTCCTAAAAATGAGTGAAAGTTGAAAGCTAATACATAAAAACAAATTAAATTGATAGCCTGAGAGACTGCGACATAAATAATGACAGCCTACGTTTTGTTACTGAGAAACAAAACTTTTAATCCGGTCAACGATTAACATGTTCTCGATCGTAAATGAATGAGACATTCATATTGCAAGCATTTTTCGATGTAAGACGATGGCACACAGACGGGTAAATATAAGTATACATATATTTATTTCATGACTTTTTTCATGTCGGATAAGTGATTATTTTAGACATTGCCAAGAGTTAAGTTATATGACTTTTTAAGTAAAATTGTTTTTCATTGGATGGATGGATATAATAATGTATAACTTGAAAATATAAGAATTCAAATACACACAATTTAGGCATTTCATTTAAGATATAATAATTCATTCTTGAAGAGCCAGTAACATATTATAATTTGCATTATTGTTATATTAGACTGAAGAATTGTTCACTATCATGTTGGTTCGAACGCGTTACCTGATTTGGAAGTTCTCTTCGCATTTTATAGCCGTATTATTTGGAGAAGGTTATATATAATAGATGATCATCTCACGCTACGAACCTAAAAGCGAAGGAGTAGTATTTTATTAAGATATTTAGAATATTTCTATAAAAGTTAAATTGGCTGCGGCTATTACTTTAAAATAGGTTTAAAGTTTGAATTAATTACACCATTCCAATTTGAATTATTGAATGACGAATAATTAAATGGCGTGTTTAATCAATTTACAGTAAAGCTTCGCACACTCACTAAATACTTGGAATGATAATGAATAATATTAAATCTATATAGAATTATCAATACATACGAAATATGCAGGTAAATACGTCATATAGGTAGTTATCACTGATTTAGTTTTATCGAGTGTAAGCTGAATCCTCCATTCGTGTCAGAGATTGTTAAATATTTATAGACTAAAGACATGCCTATGCCTTTATAAGAACGATATTATTGCTAATCCAACAGCGATGTATGTCAGTGTCAATAATTATTCGCTTGTGTGATTTTCTGCCCCTAAGCTTAAAATAACTTATTCCTACTATGAGTACCCTTTATAAGTAGGTGATATATTATATTTACACATGATATATTAAAACAGTATCGACTATATATATTGTAGCCAAGTGAGGGGTAAATTTAATATACCATAGTTTAAACATTTTTATATTGGACTAGCATTGCCCGCGGCTCTGACCGCGTTCATATGAGCAAAAAACAAATTCTTAGGTTTTACATATTAGTATACTCTAACATTGCAGTTTTTGTATTTTTTCTCAGAAGTGAGATACCTACCTATTTTCCCGCAGTAAAAAGTATCCTATATGTTGACCCGGATAACCAGCTATCACCATACCAAATTTCATCAAAATCCCTCCAGTAGTTTTTCTGTGATGCGGTAACAGACAGACAGACAAAAATTCTTAAAACAACAGATTTGGCCTCTATATCGCTAATAATGTTTATTTCAATAAGATTTTCCAAAAAATATTTAATTTACAGATTCAGCTTAGTTACAATTTTATTACATGTATAGATATGAATGAAGATATGAAATATTTAAAAATGAAAACTGTAAACATAGCCAAGTATTGTTTTAACTGCAATCTTTTATTAAGTTATTTGTGGAATGAATAATAAAAACAGTCAAGTATGTACATAATAATAGTTTTTTTTATAATATTTGTCTAAGTGCGAGTCGAATTCCTTACATGGATTATGTAAAGTACAAGTATTTCATTCTAAACAAAGTGGTTTTGGACACCATAAATTTTTGGTTTAAAAATTAGAAAATAATCAGAATTAATTTCTTTAGCCTTTAGATTTAGTAATATCGCAAAAATCCTATACGAGTGTACCCATAAAAATGACACGTACTTAACTAATAATAATGTTAGCATTTAAAAGTATTGCGCAATACATTGGAATATGAGAAATGGCCTGCATAATGTCTGATTCAGTGTACCTTTCCTTTAGAGACCGTTAGCTGCTTTTCCGTTAGCTTTTCTTGCGCCAAAACAGCAACTAGTATTATTTATGCACACCTTAATGTTTTTACAATGAGGTAAAACATTTTTATCAATAGCGTAACATAAATCGGTGTTCTCGTCCGCGTCAGACTATTCAATTGGTGGCACGTAAATGCTTGCAAAAAAATAATGACACCGGAGGCGAGTGAGGCGGCAAGTAACCGACAAACGGCGAGGTCCAATGACCCAAATGGTTCATTACTGGGCCGCCTAGTCTAACGAAAGAAAAATCGGTCGCCACTAACGAGCTATTGCTTTACATCTCTTTTGTCTCTCAATGTTAAGAAATCACAGTTTGAAAGTTTAAAAAACAACCACAATATAATAAGGTATAAAAAATTTTAAACTTTGGAAAACCTCCTTTTTGTATGTGTCTATGACTCTATAATATTATGTTAGTTTGGTCGAATATAGAATATTTAGGGTCTATAGATTTCTTTTATATCCATACTTATACATTCACCGGTAACTCCGTGTTACTTTTTCACGACCTAAACAAATTTCTATGAAAGTTTACCATGGTAACGTGTATAAATCGTTTTATCCTCATTCTGCTAACCACGCGAGCGGAGCCGCAGACAATGTCTAGTTTATAAATAATTGTATTATTATAAGAAACTAGCATTGCCCGGGCTCCATCCGCGTTCAGATGACCAAAATTCAAATTCTTAGGTTTTATATATTAGTATACTCTTACATTGCAGTTTTTGCATATTTTCTCAGAAATGAGGTATTTTCCCGCAGTAAAAAGTATCCTATATGTTGGCCTGGATAACCAGCTATCACCATACCAAATTTCATTAAAATCCTTTTAGTGGTTTTTTTGTGATGCGATAACAGACAGACAGACAAACATACACAAAAATTCTAAAAACTATAGATTCGGTCTCTGTATCGATAATAATGTTTATTTCAATAAGATTTTCCAAAAAATATTTAATGTACAGATTCGGCTTAGTTACAATTTTATTATATGTATACATAGATATAATAATAAAAAGTTGTATTCAATGCAGTTGAATGTAGAAATCATAATTCTAAAGCTTAAAGTCGAAATCTTAAAACTTAGCATAGAAAATTCCACTGTATTTAAAACAAAAATAGGCATCACTAGGTATAAGTAATCGTTAAAATGTTTCAAAGTGTATTCGTAATTCAAGCAATGACCACGGTGAATTAATCCTATGCCGTAAATGGTGCTCTTACAGAAACCTGATCCGACAGCCACGAGTCCAACACAATCTAAACAATTTATCAAAATAGCACCTATAAATGGACTTCCTGGGATACATCTTAACGTTTGGTTATTGAAATTGTAATCAGGAAGACAATTCTAGTGTAACACAAATATGTAGGTAATGCATTAAGTTTTTTGTACCATATTTTTTGCTAGTAATTACAGCAAATTAAGCGCTTAAAAAGCGGTCTTAGAAGGAGAAGGAATTCATGTGTTTCAAAAGTTAACACAATAATAACTGTCTTAAGAATAACGGTCCTCATTAATCATCTAGGTCAAAATTGGTCATACTTTTAACGCGTATTTTCATATACTTTATTTTTCATCATCTTTATTGGAATATTTTCAACTTAAGGCTTATTCTTGTGACATTTTTTTTCATTAGATTACTGTTGATTGACATCTAATTACTAAAATTAAACAATAGTAAGTTTCGGAACAGCCTACTCCATTTGCCTTTTAATTCCGTGTGTATTTCTAAAAAACTCCCTAAGCTTATTAAAAACAGACTCTTAATTAAATATATTTTAGGTCTGTATAAGCAGGACAGGAGAAATCAGACCGTTGGCCTGCATTAAAATATCTTTCCCACAGCAACTTGGCCCTTGTTGTTCCGAGAAGTACAACAAAGATCTTGTACATATGAGTCAGTACGGCTAAAGCCTTTTTAATCCAGACAAAAAGGTAGAATTTTAAATATGAGCACAAAATTCCACTTATCGTCACACTGACACGATTGTTTCAATTATCATCTCATGCTTTTGTACTTTCGATTGTTCAAATTAAAAAGCTAACAAAGCTTAACAATTTTCTTTAAAGATATGGTTATAAAGTGCGGGACCTCTATACGACCAAAAATGTTATATTACATCAACTATTAAAACTTAAAATTGTTGAATGAATGTTAAAAATTATACCTAATAAATAATAATACATTTAAAAAAAGTGTCTAATATGAGACTTTAATGATACTTTTAGTATGTACCTATTGGTCATATGCCGTTATCAAAGTTCGAGTAATTAGGACAATATGCTGTCATTAAACTGGCATAGGTACAGTTCGATTCGTCGAAGAGCCGCGTAGGTGTTACTACATTATTGCCGGTCGTCATCCTTCATACACAAAATTATTTGTTCCCATAATTTGTATTCGGGGTCGGCGTCACACTTATGATGAGCCATTAGAAAGGAGATTGTAATTGTATGGATATAAAAATATACAAAAAATATGAGTGGGAGACTACGTCTATTTACGTAATTGCGAAGAAAACTTAAATTGCAAACGCCGTGTCCATTTTCAGCTGTGAAAAAGCTTTTATGTTTTTATTATACCCACTATGAATAATGATGAAAATAATTAATTTATACTAATACATATTATTAAGCTAAAGAGAAAACTTTCAGTCAGAAAAATCTTTGCATCTATCTTATAGTCTACGGGAGGTTTTAGGCTATCTAACATCTCGTTTAAGAGCAGAGTAATTATAAAAAGCGCGAGCAAAAGCTAGAATATGCATATTGCTTATGAAAATAAAAAAGTAAGTAGAACTAATTATAATGTTGTTAAATCATTAGGAACTCATTAACCCTATCTAGCAGCAGGTACTTAAGCTCATTAACACCTGCGAAGATTTGTGACTCATAAAAAATGTTAATTTATCTTTTAAATAGTCAACAAATATAGTTGTATATATGTAAACCAATACACACACACATATATATATATATATATATATATATATATATGTATGTACAAAGAATTAATGGGAGTCTATCTTCCAAGTAATTACAAAATATATATATATATATTAAAACGTTGTTAGTATTTTGAAGTTAATTTTTTGTTCAATGCTAATAATAATTTGACTCCAAAGTTACTTCAACCGGTTTTCAAACCATACAACAAACATTTTAAGCAATTTATCAAAGATTATATTCAAATAGGAATCGTGACGGTGGTGTTAACTATTAAGAAAACTTTCGCTTATAAACATTTCAATAAAAAGGGAAATCATGTCAAGTTTGATGACAAACGACTGCAGACAATGTGCAACTAACTGCGCGGGTGGATAATAATCAAGGTCACAAGCCGAGCTAAGAGACGTTTGAAAACAAAAGTGATCGCAGTTTACGCACTCGAATTTATCTTATTATGTAAACAAGTCTTTGAAAAGCTTTTTGACCATTTAAATGGCAAAGAATGACTCCTACGCGTTTTTGAAGAAAGTTTGTTTGG